CACAGCACAGCCATTCTCAGTTAAATGGAACAATTAGCTAAGCAAAGTAAAGAAAAAATAAGTTGTGATTTTTCATGAAATAGAAACTTCAACAATACTATAACCAAAAATTCAGCCCTCAGGGACAAATAGTGTCGTGACCCAAGTAATACAAAGTGACCTACCCTGATATTACACTGTAATTTACTTAACAAAACCTGGTTAAACATTACAGAATCTACTGTAATCCCTAAAGATCCTTTGATGGACAATTCAGCACATTCTAAATAAAGATATTTCACGCACAATAACTTTTAAAGATGTCTACTGTATACTTAAAGTTTTTCTCCTTTATTTGCATATGCAAGAAATTAAACCTGAGGACAACATGTAAGCCTCACTACGGATCCCTGAAGGCAAGTCTTCATACATCAAACATTTTGTTAAATGTCACTGGGAAGTCATATAACGTAGCAATATGAAATTTTACTTGATTCTCACAGTTAGACAGTCGTTCAAACAGTAGCACACACAGTACATATGACCGTGACGTAATTATAAATTTCAAATCTAAACAATTTTGCCATATTGTCTGCAATAAACAGTCTAATTTAAAGTTGCAGCATATATAAAACACCTTCAAACGATTACTGTTGCATTGGTTCAGTTTACTTTAACTTACTGACACTAATCTATTCCATACTGAATGTGTAATATACGTTATAAATTACGTCACTCTGAAAACTGTTGGTTTGTATTTGAAATTACTTCCTAAATAATTGTATTTGAGTGTAACCTGACCCAGTGATTAATTTGACAAATACAATTCACAATTAACCTCGATTATATTTAAAAATACGGCTCCTGACGGTGGGTTGTTTGAAGAATTCACAACAATAAATGATCTGTCATTGAATTTGACTAAAAATGATAAAAACTCGATATTTTAATTTAACCTGGCGGGTTATTTAAATTGATGACACTTCTAAGCACAAAATAAAACAAAGATTTGTCAGATTTTATCAAGTTAAATAGCAGTAAATTAAGATCCCAACACCAGAAATTTACGTCACAGATAGTCAAGGACCAACCTGTAGGTCCCGTGACCAAATCATGGAAACAAAGGTTTGAAAGTGTTTTTGAGTTTCCTGATGTATACTGAACAATTTTGACTAGGGCTGCCCAGTTGAAAATCCCGGGCATTTTGGGGAAGGGTCAACAAAGGTCAAACAGGGGTCAAAATTCAAAATTGTGTCGACATGTATATCAAATTACTCGTCCAGTCATAAGGAACCTAGAAATATATAGTTTGTTATACTTCCGACCTTAAATGGGGGAGCTATGGCCAAAAACGTTGAAAGGTCAACGCACTTTTGGCAGTCGGTGAAATGCACAAACACAGTTAACATTGTCCGATAGTCATGATTTTAGTGTCTAATAATATGTTTTCTGATGCTTCAGCAAAGTCACAGGATCCTTGGCCAATAACGCAGCATATTTCAGAATCCATTGTCCAGAAATGCTTACTTGCCAATACGGTATTCACAGCCAGCACTGCCTGAACATCTGAGTGATGCCAGAGCAAACTGCTCTGTAGAATCGGACACAGATTCAGATACAAGTGATTGTGACAGTGATTCCGACTCTGCATCTGATGGGTATGACACAGAGTAGGATGATGAACTGTGCACAAAAGTAAGGTTAGAAAAGCATTTCTGGACAATGGATTCTGAAATATGCTGCGTTACTGGCCAAGGATCCTGTGACTTTGCTGAAGCATTACAATTCTTCGTGCAGCCAACCATTTTCGATTATCAACTAAATAATGCGCAGAAATTTATCTTAAAATACACTACAATTTAGGAATTAATCGGTGTCATGTCTGAGCGAGTGCATTTGCACCATCTAACTGAGAATGACTGTCACACATTTTATCCATGTGGGGAATCAAACCCAGGTTTGAAAAACATGATTGGAGCACAACAACACCATTTCGTTTGTTAACTCAAATTTCCAGTAGCTTGGAAATAATAGAACCTGGGCCAGACAAACCAGTGATGGACATTATGAGCAATGCCTGATGCAGTCAGGGAATGATCACACAGATCACACAAGTCACTGAGATTGACCACCTCATCCACAATCACAGGCTGCTAGTAACAATTTCACCCATTGCTTTTGCTCTTATTATTCCACTCAAATTCCTTCTCCAATAAATACAACGCATGATATTGATGAATATTATTTTAATGATATAAATTTACAAGAATTGGGCATGATTATTACATACAAGAGCAGTCCTTGGACGTTTCTCTGTAATCACAGCTTAGAAACATGGACAAGACGTTCATCTTTAACTGTTTTTTTTTACATTTTCTTTATGATTAAACTACTCATACTTTGTGCAGTTTCTACCTTTCTATATTTGCCTTTCCCATCCCTCCATTCCAATAGGATGAGTTCATCCATGGCCCAATCCACATCCATCTTGTCCGTCGCTCTGTGTCCACCAAATGTCACATCGTAAGATGCGACTAACGGGATCGGGCGGTCAGGCTCACTGACTTAGTTGATCCATGTCAGCGATCCCAATTGCGTGGATCCATGCTCATGATATCAATCACTGGATTGTCTGGTCCAGACTCGATTATTTACAGACCGCCGTCATATAGCTGGAATATTGCTGAGAGCAGCGTTAAACAACAAACCAACCAACCAACCTCAGCGTCGGTGGAAGAAAACACAGACCAGAATACACAAACCAACAGCCCTCTGGTTGAGAATACAACTGACAGGATGTCTGCCAAGTAAGGTTCAAAAGCCCCCAAATACATGTAGTTATTAATCTGAGTGAGTGAATGTGTTTTACGCCACTTTCAGCAATATTCCAGCAATATTAGGATGGAGGAGGGGTTCAAATATACCCGTGTGGGGAACAAATCCTGGACATTTGATGAGCAAACACTTAAACCACTGCACTACCCAATCTTCCTATTGATTTCAAATATTTTCCCAAACAGCCTGGACTCATATCATCCAGGGCTTCATTATTGTGATATGTTTAGTGAGTGAGTGAGTTGGGTTTAACGCCGCTTTAACATTATTCCAGTTATATCATGGCGTGTCAGCTTGATGTGGGAGGAAAGCCCGAAGTGATGCAGGTCTTAGACGTTTACCACTTCGATGAAACCAACGAGCACGGGTATGGTGCTGACAAACCTAGAAACATAATTGGGGTGAACCGGGATTCGAACCCACAATCATAGGTTTCTGGCGTGTCAAGGGGACGCAACTCTGCACAGCGAATTGCGACACCTTAGACGACTGGGCCACCCGTGCCCCCTGTGATATGTTTAAACAGGTGCTGAATCATTGTTGCGGAGACATACAACCAAAGGAAAATAACTTCCCTTCTTGAATACCAAGTACGACAAAATACAGCAAAGGAATTTTTTTTAAAACAGAGAGATTGTAAAAAATTTTCCAGGGCGGAATGATATATATTCAAATGATTGCAAATATAATCATTTTGCTTTAATTGAGGACCTTCAAGAGATGTGTAATACACACACACAAAAAAAAAAATAGCCTTACAGGCAACAACTGCCCTCCTCACCAATCACAGGACAATGTTGATTATGATGAATAATACTTAATGTTAATCATGGTATAAAAGGCAATGATGATGATGATGTCATCAATTTTAAGAATGATTTGACATTCATCATCTCTAACAAAACTAACGAAAGTTCATTTCAACTGAAAACAAATTTCCTGAGAAATATTTATTCATGTGAAACAATTGCTGAAAATAATTTCTTATCCTGCTGCAAGCGGTGCAGCACCTTGGTAGATTTCTATGGTAACTGTGATGACTTCACAGGCATAACACATGTCCTCTACATAATTTACATCATGTACATTACTAAGAGAGCAGTTCAAAGGTTTGATAAAAAAAACTTTATTCCTGAAGTTTTGTGGAGGGAGTCAACAAGTTTTCCATCCAACAATATCATCTGTTAGGAATAATGAACACAATTGATGAGTAGGAGAGTTGGGTTTAAGTCCGCTTTTAACAGTATTCCAGTTATATCACGGCGTGTCAGCTTAATGTGGGAGGAAAGCCTGAAGTGATGCAGGTTGTCAGACGTTTATCACTTCGGTGAAACCCACGAGCACAGGTATGGTGCTGACAAACCTAGAAACATAATCAGGGCGAATCGGGATTCGAACCCACAATCATAGGTTTCTGGCGTGCCCAAGGGACGCAACTCTGCACAGCGAATCACGACGACTGGGCCACCTGTGCCCCCTGAGCACAATTGACTCTGTAAGATGCTCAAGACCATATATAACAGCTTTCAACATATCTTATCCCTTGAAATACACAGTATTACTATTATCATGATCGTGAGTATGGTGTTACGCCACTTTTAGCAGTATTCAAGCAATATCATTGCACTGATGCACATCAATAAAGATGACCACAAAACCAGAGATGATATATTCAGTAATTACCCAGAGGGTTAGAAATAACCTAGTTCATAAACATTGTAAGTGCACTAGTGCAAATATCACTTCACGGGAATCAGTGTATTGTTTACGTCATCCGGACGGTAGGGCTGGTAACTCGGCATCATCCCGAGGCAAGAGAGTTAACTGACTTTAAAAGTCCAGTTTCCACCCTTGCCGAACTAGGCTGGAATTCCTGGGCTTGATCGTAGCGCCACCAGTGGTAATTATGAGTTATGTCCCTTCTGAGCCTCTCCTATGGACCAATTCGATTCCATCACTTGCACTGAACAAAATGGCGGTGCCCAGTCAAGACGATCTGATCGTTAATCAAGATCTATATGTGATAAAACGGGTCTTACATCGCGAAAAGCATCAAATCACGCGAGCACCATGATTAAAAACGTGAAAAGGTTTGGAAAATATCTTTTTACAACGAGTTGGCGGTGCACATGCTTTGCAAATCCTGCAATCGAACGTAATCTGCATGACACTTTGCGAACCGGATTTTGATTTCGTTGCAAGATTTTGATTGGACTATGCATAGACTCGTTAGTCCAGCAAAAATGTAACTCCATAATACCAGCCTAGTTCGGCAAGGGTGGAAACTGGACTTTTATAGTCAGTTAACTCGCTTGTCTCGGGACATGCGGGAAGATGGTAACTCGGGTACTCGGGTCGGGTGGGTCCTGAGTAGGACCCGGTTTCCCACAGGACTGCCCGGACCCATGGTTAGTCATGTGATATTTTGTTTAATGACAAAAACTCACAAAAGCTCAGTGGTTACACTACATGTCGATAATGTTCGCATTATCATTCGAAGATCATTGAAATCATTTGAAAATTGGGATTTTCTAAGACGGTCGTCGTGATCTGGGCATTTTTCTAAAGGCGATCTCAAAAGGATTAAGAAATTATGCATAATAAAGAAATTATTATACTCGCTCAGGAAATACAAGAATTCTGACACTCGTTACGTAAAATCAGTATGACACTTGTGCTTGTATGACAATCTCTACGTTCACCTCCTCAAAATATAGTTGGCAAGTTAGTTATCCAATTCATTGCCCTTTTAAGTGACTGGTGAAACCTGTTCTCCAGCTTTTCTGTCCATCGACCTACGTATCTTGTTAATCTAGCATCACATTAAGGCATCATATACACTGACCACAAGATCACAGAGTACTTTCTCCAGGAAAATGCACAAATAAACTCCTCAACCAAGTGTTCATCAAACGATTCCCTAAATTCTTCTGTATGTAATTTTAAACATGTTAATGCAGCCAACATGATAAAGTCCTAGCTCAGCTCTGCAACCCCTGTGCCCTCTCCTTGGCCAGTTTCCTCTCCAGATACCTCCTCCTGGCCTCCGCTGCCTTGTCCTCTGTTGTGTGTTTGGCGTACTTCAACTTCAAGTCTTCTTCAGGCTTACTCTCAACTTTACTGTCTGGGGGCAGCTGGGGACCAGTAAAGGGAGACGCACTCCTCTCACGGTCACTATCAGCCTTACTTTCGGTGGTTTCCTCCACAAGCTTTTCTTCTGAAACTTTCCTCTGTGGAGATTCTGATTTCTCTTGGTAACTCTTCGACTTTTCTTTTGACCTTGATCCATCTTTTCTTTCACTGGATTCTGACATCTGTTTCTTGTTCTTTCCATTTGTTTCCCTTGATGGTTCTCGTTTACTTTTATCTTTTGACCTTGACCTGTCCTTTCTGCTTCTGTCTCTTGATCTTGACCTGTCCTTTCTGCTTTTGTCTCTTGACCTTGACCTGTCTTTCCTACTTTTGTCTCTTGACCTTGACCTTTCTCTTCTACTTCTATCTCTTGATCTGTCTTTTCTGCTTTTGTCTCTTGACCTTGACCTGTTTTTCCTACTTCTGTCTCTTGACCTTGACCTTTCTCTTCTACTTCTGTCTCTTGACCTAGACCTGCCTTTTCTATATCGGTCTCTTGACCCTGATCTCTCCTTAACACTTCTATCCCTTGGTCTTTCTCCTCTATTTCTTTCATTTGACATATCTCTCATATGTCTTTTTCTATCTGACCTTGCCCTATCTGGAGATCGCCGGCCTCTATCTCTTGACCTTGACCTACTGTGACCTCTCTCTTCAGATGACGAACCTGATGAACTTTTTTTCCTTCTTTTTGTTCCCTCAGACGTCTGCCTTTTCTTCAATGATCCATTTGCTTGAACTTTCCTGGACAAACAAAATTCAATTCAATGTCAATGTGCCCTGAATAAGTGCCAAGGACGGGTGCACTAATACATGACAGAGGCTATAACCTTCTGGCTGCATCCATATGTTGGTGAAGTGAGTAGAAATGGGTCTAATGCCGAGTGTCAGGCAAGGTAACAACAAGTACCATCTTTTAATGTCTTTTGGTATGATGTGGCTAGGGATCAAACCACCAACCTTCTGCTCTCCGTGCGGACACTTTACCACTAGACCACAGAGGCAGCCTCACCCGCCCAGCATTGGAATAAGTGAGTGAGTACTGTTTTATGCTGCTTTAGCAATATTCCAGCAATATCACAGCTTCACACATAGTACCATGTGCGGAATCGAACCTGGGTCTTCAATTTGATGAATTTTATTGACCTCAAATATTTTTTGTTACTTTTGATTATTTCTTTTCAGGTTTTGCAAACTCTTTTTAAGTCGTAATTACAAGGGGTGCTGAAATGTCAGTATGTGTTATGTAGGGAGAGTGTACATTTCAAGGTTTTACTTTTGTAATGAAATCATTTATTTTTTCCAGTAGACAACTACACAAAAAGTATATAATATACAGGACATTTTGTGTGTATCATGAAGTATCATGTTTCTCTCATCTTGTGATAGAGGAAAATATCTCCTTTCCCCCAATACACGATGATAGACACAAGATGGTTCACTCGCCACAAGGAATATCCTCAATACCCTAATGCCTATGAGTGAGTGAGTGAGTGAGTGAGTGAGTGAGTGAGTGAGTGAGTGAGTGAGTGGGTGGGTGAGTCAGTGAGTGAGTGAGTGAGTATGGTTTTACGCCGCTTTTAGCAATATTCCAGCAATATCATGGCGGATATCCTAATGCCTATGAGTGAGTGAGTGAGTGAGTATGGTTTTATGCCACTTTTAGAAATATTCCAGCAATGTCCCGGCAGGGGACACCAGAAATGGGCTTCACACATTGTACCCATGTCAGAAATCGAACCCGGGTCTTCAGTGTGACGAGCGAACGCTTTAACCACTAGGCTACCCGACCGTCCCCCTAATGGCCCTAATGTGAACATTCAAAGACCCACCACATTTACACAGAAGAGTTTGTGCATGCTACATAACTTGCCATCTCAAAATTTTGACAGTTTTCAAAAGCAAACGCCTAAAGACACTAAATAAGTCAGTGACATGAATTGTAGATATAATACAGATAATTATTGTTATGGCTGTTTCTTTTTTGTAAGCTCCCTCTAATGAATGACGGCCATCATGAATGCAGTGTACTGTGCATTCCGTCAGGGGTTTTACTTTGGTTTGACCAGAAAATACATTGAATCCTAATGATGGATTTTACTCAGATTTCAAACTAAGTGCCGTGGCAGCCAAATTGGGAAGTGCCGTGGTGGCCAAATTGGGAAGTGCCGTGGTGGCCAAATTGGGAAGTGCCGTCGCAGCCAAATTGGGAGGTGCTGTGGCGGCCAAATTGCGACGCTTTTTTTTCTTCTCTAAAATTGAGAATTTGTGTAAGGTTCTTATATTCCTACATCGAGTGGTATTTTATTAACATTACATTAAATAAAATTATATCAAACTTGTCAAATATATCATATTACCGTATTCGACGTAATAAGCACCCCGCTCTAATAAGCGCCCACAGCGATATTTGCTAATATATTGGCTAGTGAACAATCCCAATCGGCACCCCTTCCGTTTGATCAATGTACACAAGACTTATTTATTCGTGTATAATACGCACTCTTGTGTTATATGCACCCTTAATTATGGGCAATTAAATTCTGGAAAAATATATCTGTCATATGTCAACATTTCAGGCTGTCAGCATAAACCACGAAAATTACGATCTTTCAGCTGTTTTTTTCACCAAAATAATATTCTAATAAGACTACCGTATTTTCTTGAGTATAGTGCGCACCCATGTATAATGCGCACCCCCCTCTAGCGGGTTCAATATTTTGGAAAAAAAGAAATTTGAATATTATGCGCAGAAATTTTTTACACCGTACCCTTTCAGCGAAGTCCGGCAAACGAACGGGTGCTGAGAAACTTCGTCAGTACAAATTCGAAATTTGAGATAAAAAATCACCAGACATGTTTATTTACCGTTTAAATAGTATTTATTGTTCTGCTAGGCATTGTTTTATATTTAGGGATTAAGATTACCTTGCGTATTTTCTCGTAAACTAAGCTGGAAACAGCAATCAGCTGTACACACGTTTTCTTGGAATCGACCGGTGATTCGGTCAAGACACACCCAATGATATAACTTTATAAGATTTTTAATGCAAGGATCAGCAACCATTGTATCTGAAACTATTTTATTTATCAGGAATAATATATTCCATTATTTTCTTAATTATATGCAACCTTTAATAAACATATTTAAAATAATAATAACCCTAAGCGAAGCAGCTGATCGCTATTCCCGGGCATTATTTTTTACATGGAACATGTCTGACCAGTCACCGTCAAGGCTCACGCGCACATGATCACGTGATCGCGAGAATTTCATGTTGACATAGAATCGTCAAACAAAAACAAACATGACTTTTAACGAGTCAAAGTATGTCATTTATGATATATGTATCCATTCTCTGTCAACTAAAGTTTGTTTCAAGGCGTCAATAGCGGTATTCTGACCGTGGTTGCTGTTAATAACGGTGAGTTGTGCGATCTTCCCATCGCTTCACACACGATTTCGCCGAAATTAATAAAAACAATATTATCAGATTATAAGGAATTTTGAATAAAATCAATGAAATAAGTTACAAACATAAGTCCTGATATACAAAGAACACTTTTTATAGCCAGACAGTGTAATTACATAATTATTTTGCGTACTTCAGTATGGATTTGTTGACATGGTATTCCCGGTGTTTCGTGCTCCATGGGGGAAAAAAACATCCAAACTCATAATTCGTGTATTATGCGCACCCCCTTCTACACAGCTGTGTTTTTTCGAAAAAAAGTGCGCACTATACTCAAGAAAATACGGTATTACTTCGAATACGGTAAGCTTCTTATGTGGGGCAAAAAAATATTGAACTCTTGGAATGCCTTGATAAATCCCTGACTAATAGTTGCAAGAATGTCAACACTGTGTTGAGGTATCCTTCCTTGGTAAAACAATGCCTACATTACAACCTGAGATATATTTAGCAAAGAAAAGGCTTTATGACATATTGAGGATCAGCTTCTGATGAGTTCTTTGTGATGCAACTAACTCTATGCCATTTTCTTTGTTTTCAATTCCTTTTCATTGGAATATGAACTACAACAATTCATGCTACTGCAACTTGGGGTAGCCTGGTGGTTAAAGCGTTCGCTTGTCACGCCGAAGACCCAGGTTTGATTCCCAACATGGGTAGAATGTGTGAGGCCCATTTCTGGTGTCCCCCGCCATGATATTGCTGGAATATTGCTAAAAGCGGCGTAAAACCAAACTCACTCACTCACTGCAACTTGGGTGGCCGAGGACAATCTGACTTACTTTCTGCCTCTGGAATCATCAGAGGCTGAACTTGACTGCGAACTGGAATCTGAGTCACTGTCCCCACTCTCTGATACTTTCTCCTTCTTTACTCGGACTTCTTCCTGTTTTTCTCCTTCTTTCTTGATCTTGATATCTTCCTTTCTCCTTGAAAAAGATTAATATTTCTTGTTTATTTGTTTGTTTGTTGTTTAACACTGCACTCAGCAATATTCTAACTATGACAGTCTGGACCAGACAATCGATCTATGCAACTGGGATCAATGACATGTATCAACCACATTAGCGAGTCTATCCACTTGAGAGTATTAGTTGCCTCTTACGACATGCATGGTTGTTGATGACCATTTCAAACCTGCATCACAGGGGGATAAATATTTCTAAGTCATGGTGTCTTTTCATTCATAACCGGGGCACGGGTGGCCCAGTCGTAAAGGCGCCGCGCTTCGCTGTGCAGAGTTGCGTCCCTTGGGCACGCCAGAAACCTATGATTGTAGGTTCGATACCCGGTTCGCCCCAATCATGTTTCTAGATTTGTCAGCACCATACCCCTGCTCGTGGGTTTCACCGAAGTGGTAATGATGACACCTGCATCACTTCAGGCTTTCCTTAAGGTGGCATGCCACGATATAACTGGAATACTGTTAAAAGTGGTGTTAAACTCACTCACTCATTCATAACCATGTTGGCCAGAATCTGAATTAGTGAGTGAGTGAGTTGGGTTCAACACCACTTTTAACAGTATTCCAGTCATATCGCAGCGTGTCAGCTTAATGTGGGAGGAAAGCCCGAAGTGATGCAGGTCTCAGACATTTACTACTTCGGTGAAACCAACGAGCATGGGTATGGTGCTGACAAACCTAGAAACATAAACGGGATTCGTACCTACAATCATAGGTTTCTGGCGTGCCCAAGGGACGCAACTCTGCACAGCGAATCGCGGCGCCTTAGACGACTGGGCCACCCGTGCCCCCCAGAATCTGATTTAAACATGAAAGGAAATCAGAGTCGGGACAGTTCTACAGGAGACAACCCTGGGGAACATGTGTTTCCAATACCCTGCATAGCAAAATCTTCCTTTGCATTCAAGATTACCCTTCCCTTCAGACTCAATAGCAGTGTTCTTGATCATGATAAAATCGAAAACGTGCTTATCTTCAAATATTACAGATCAATAGTGAGATTTTTTGGGAGATAAAAATTTCATACAAGGTTGCATTACTGGACACATGAGGTCTACCTTGTATTAGCTACGTACACTTCTGCATCTTCAGCAATATTACCCATGGGATTAGAAATAATGGAGTTCATAAAAATTGTATGTGCACTGATGCAAATATCACTTCACATACACCAGGTTGTTTCCATCATTTGGGCGGCATTGTTGACGTCATTCGAATCTTATTGTGACGTAAGGTCGGAATGATGTCACAGTAGAAACGACATTTGAATATTGTTGACAAATTTGTGCATTTCTAGGACAGTGGTGGAGATTAGTGCATTTTTCAAAGGGCTGTGCATTTTATGAAACTTGTGTAAAAAATTATGTATTACCCTCGCTCGGGAAATACAAGAATTCTGACACTCGTTTCAAAAAATCAGTATGACACACATGCTCGTGTAATAATCTCTATGATTGAAGTACCCATTCTTACAACATGTACAATGTCCATATTGGTGATTGAGTGAGTGAGTTGGGTTTAACGCCGCTTTTAACAGTTTTCCAGTTATATCGCAGCGTGTCAGCTTAATGTGGGAGGAAAGCCCGAAGGGATGCAGGTCTCAGATGTTTATCACTTTGGTGAAAAATACGAGCACGGGTATGGTGCTGACAAACCTAGAAACATAATCGGGGCAAACCGGGATTCGAACCCACAATCATAGGTTTCTGGCGTGCCCAAGGGACGCAACTCTGCACAGCGGATCGCGGCGCCTTAGACGACTGGGCCACCCGTGCCCCCTGTCCATATCGGTTCTCAAGATTATTGCACTTATATAGCAATATGTGCAAGCATGCATACACTTGTCCAGTTTAATGCCAGCTAGCCATGCCATAGTTGAGTTTCCTTTGGAACGACACGGCAGGGGGTGGAACAATCGCCCTTCCACACCCCGGGCAGACGCTCTATCCACTAGACCACCGAGTCAGTCTGACCCTATCAGATATACATTTGGTTTTTGTGTCTGGTCTGCTTAGAGGAATGAAAGACCATCAAGATGCCTAAGAGAGATTTACCACTTAATGAAATCCAGAAGCCAGTATTTAGCCAAGAATCATAACTGCAGCAAATTTGGATTGGATCCTGGCAGCTAAGGGATGCAACACTGCGTTTCAGGTTGGTGTGGGAGGAAGGTCCATGGTGATGCAGGATTTATGTGTTTACATGTTATTAAAATCATGTGCCTATTGATCAAGCTGTGATTTCACTTCTCGCGTAAAAGGCAACTAACAGGATCGGGTGGTCAGACTCGCTGACTTGGTCGATGCATGTCATCAATCCCAATTGTGTGGATCGATGCTCATAATATCAATCACTGGATTGTCTTGTCCAGACTCAATGATTTACAGACCGCCGTCATAAAGCTGGAATATTGCTGTGCGGTGTAAAACAACTAGACAACCAACCGACATCTGGATGTCCGCCTGACATTACCATGATCACCACCTTCAGGAAATTCAATAGTGCTGGAATGATGCTGGCAAACCCAAAAACATTTTCAGGAAGAATCTGGCATTTGCACCTACAATCATATGTTTCTGGCTCATCTAAGGGATGCAACTCTGCACAGTGAATTGCTGCGTCTACGAAAATTTGGCAATCTGTGCCCCCCGTGTCTTGGTTGAAAGTGACAAGAGTTACTTCCCCTTAATGTTTTTAGTATTGCATTAGTGTTGTGATCATTAAACAGGATTGCAATACTATGATGGCGGTCTATAAATAATCGAATATGGACCAGACAATCCAGTGTTTGACATCATGAACATCAATCCACGCAATTGGGATACGAAGACATGCATCAACCAACTCAGCTATCCCCACCACCCGATCACGTTAGTCTACTCTTACAACAAGCATAAGATATAAAGATATGGTAAAAGAGATTTAATGAGAGACCTTTCATTGTAAAGGACAGAAAGATTTCTGGTGGCCATATTGGAAAATAATGAACTATTATTGCGCAAAGTTTCAATCTTTTATGACAAAAGTACAATTCAAGTTATATTGTCTACTGGACTACATGAGTGCCAAGTCCAAGATTCAGCACACTGCTGTGGAAAATGTTAATGATTAAGTGAGCTGAGGTGAAATGGGGTTTAACGTCGCGTCCAAGATTATTGCACTTATATAGCAACGTGCATGCATGTGTGGGTGTGGGTGGCCGCTTGTACTAGTCCGGACTGATGCTGATTCATAGTGCTAGTATACTGACTCCGAGCCGACCAGTCCTTGTTTCAGCCCCTTATGCCGAGCGCCAGACATGGTACCATCTTTTAACACCTTTTGGTATGACGCTGCTGGGGATCGAACCCTGGACCTTCCGCTCTCTGGGCGCACGCTCTACCACTAGACCACGGAGGCAGTCGTTAATGATTAAGGAAAGTACCTTTGATTTTCTGAATGGATGCCGAACATGTGCTCAGCCAAGGGGCCTGGTTTGGATTAAGAGTAAAATGTCTATTCCATATGTTATATGGCAGTGTAATACACTGCTAAACAATGCTTATAACTGCATTACTTGGTTTCTGTTGAGATTCAGTAGAAGTTCATTGCATTGTATTTGGACAATGATTAGTTGTCAAGAATGTAGTACTAATTAATGTTAGCTGTGGTGAGGAAGTTTTTTACATTTAGATGTTTGAATTATATGTAAACTTCCGGAATAGCATGGATGAATGTCAAGCTTTTTTAGAAACATGTGGAATATTCTGTGATGTTCTAGTGATACTGGACTTGTCAAGGACTGTGTGGAAAGTGCTGGAAGCTGGTTTGACTATACATTTTGTGGGCTGTTTGTTGGTTTCACACTAAATTCTTTATACGTACAAATTTCTGGGCTAACATATTGTTTCGATTTGGGAATCCACACGTAGAAGAGAAAAGAACCTGTTTTAAGAGAGAAACATCAGTGCAACTTACTCTGGTTCATCGCCGTCCCCCCCGGCAGTCTGACGGTACAGGTAGCGGTAGAATCCACTCAGATCCTTCTGCTTCGTCACATCCAGCATTGCTAGTAGAAATAGAGAAATACCATGGGTTAACAACAAGCTCTGCTAGCCTGTATCAGTTCAGTATTGGTGAAGAATGTCAGAGAAATAACATGGGTTAGCAACACACACTACTGGCTTGTATCAGTATAAGTGAGTTTCATGCAACAATTACACTCACCCAGTCCTCTACAACCCACCCCCATCCTCCAAAATCCACCCCAGATCTCCACATCCCACCCCCATCCTCCACATCCCACCCCCATCCTCCACAACCCACCCCCATCCTCCACAACCCAACCCAGTCCTCCACAACCCACCCCCATCCTACAAAATCCACCCCCATCCTCCAAAATCTGCCCCAGTCCACCACATCCCACCTCCAGTCCTCCACAACGCACCCCCATCCTACAAAATCCACCCCCATCCTCCAAAATCCACCCCAGTCCTCCACAACCCACCCCAGTCCTCCACAACCCACCCCCATCCTACAAAATCCACCCCCATCCTCCAAAATCCACCACAGTCCTCCAAATCCAACCCCCGTCCTCCAAAATCCACCCACATCATTCACAATCCACCTCCATCTTCCACAACCCACCCCCTTCCTCCACAACCCACCCCCTTCCTCAACAACCCACCCCCATCCTCCACAACCCACCCCAGTCCTCCACATCCCACCCCCATCCTCCACAACCCACCCCAGTCCTCCACATCCCACCCCCATATTCCACAACTCACCCCATCCTCCACAACCCACCCAGTCCTCCACAACCCACCCCATACTCCACAACCCGCCCCGATCCTACAAAATCCACCACCATCTTCCACAACCCACCCCAGTCCTCCACAACCCATCTCAGTCTTCCACAACCCACCCCGTCCTCCACTACCCATCCCCATCCTCCACAACCCACCCCATCCTCCACAACCCACCCCCATCCTCCACAACCCACCCCAGTCCTCCACAACCCATCCCAGTCTTCCACAACCCACCCCATCCTCCACAACCCACCCCCAACCTACAGAACCCACCCCATCCTTCACAATCCACCCCCATCTTCCACAATCCACAACCATCTTCCACAACCCACCCCAGTCCTCCACTACCCATCCCCATCCTCCACAACCCACCCAATCCTCCACAACCCATCCCCATCCTCCACAACCCACCCAATCCTCCACAACCCACCCCCATCCTCCACAACCCACCCCATCCTCCACAACCCACCCCCATCCTCCACAACCCACCCAATCCTCCACAACCCATCCCCATCCTCCACAACCCACCCAATCCTCCACAACCCATCCCAGTCTTCCACAACCCATCCCAGTCTTCCACAACCCACCCCATCCTCCACAACCCACCCCCATCCTCCACAACCCAACCCAGTCCTCCACAACCCACTCATCCTCCACAACCCAACTCCATCCTCCGCAACCCAACCCCATCCTCCAAACTCACCCTCCATTTCTGCCTTCTTCTTCTCCCTCTCCTCCTCCTCCTGCTGCTCCTGCATCTTCTTCTTGTAGGCAGATGTCACAAAGGCTTCCTTGTCTGCAAACTCATCCCCCTCCTGCTCCCTCTCCTGCTGCACCTTCCTCTCCACGCGTCGCTCGTCCTCCTTCTTGCGGATCTCTGCATGCTTCAGCAGACCTGCGATGTAGCGTGGCTAAACACAACACATACCACCCTTAGAACTGAGAATTTGTTGGTATAAACAGGATATACTTTAATGATAATAATAATAATAATAATAATAAAGTCCATTTCTTCAGCGCCATCTACGTAGTCACTCATAGCGCCTCACACAGGGTCATAGACACATCTAAAGAGATAAGTCTTTAGTTTTGTCTTGAAAGTGTCCAGAGTTGGAGAGTGCCAAATTTCCACTGGAAGGGAATTCCAGAGCACAGATGCAGTGTGAGCAAAAGTAATCACTTTTAGGGACTCTTCATTTGCATCTGTTTATACTGTTAGATGTGTTTCAAATGTCACATATATAGAAGACTGCAAACTGCTTGAGTTAGCTATGGTAACGAATGCATCATAATCAAACATTCACAACACTGAAAAAATACAAAATATTGCATGTGTACATCAGAGGAGCACATCAGAGTAAAGTGATCCAGGTCTACAAGCTGGCAACAGCGATAAGCAAGAGTCAGCTCTTTTGTGCATTATTCACTGCAGTAGAGCATATAAATGTATAATATAATAATATACGTTATGCCTTCATTCAGTCAGTACATGAAGAAGATTAACGAAATACCTCTTTACTGGCTGAAAGGTTTCATTGGGTACTGCTACAAACACTTATTGTTGTTATCATACTGAGTGAGTGAGTGAGTTGCGTTTAACGCCGCTTTCAACAGTATTAGTTATATCGCGGCGTGTAAGCTTAATGGAAAGGGAGGAAAGCCTGAAGTGATGCAGGTCTTAGACGTTTACCACTTCAGTGAAACCGGCGAGCATGGGTATGGTGCTGACAAACCTAGAAACATAATCGGGGCGAACTGGGATTCGAACCCATGATCATCGGTTTCTGGCGTGCCCAAGGGTCACAACTCTGCACAGCGAATCGTGGCGCCTTAGACGACTGGGCCACCGGTGCCCCTGGCTGATGATTAAAACTGACCCTTCTTTCATCACTGTTGATGAGGTGACTATCAACCTGGGCAAAATATATCTGTAAACATCTTAAATGTTGAACATTACACTTAGCAAGTTTCCAGTCATAAAAACGTATTAAGAGTCTGTTAAATATATTCAGGAGTGGAACAAGCATGCCAAGTTTCAGCTCCATTGGCCCGATGGGTGGTCCTGGTGAGCTATACATCAGTTTGAAATAAACAACTGTGGCAGGAAAACTTTGTGTTGATAGTTCGCCTGTCAGACATTGTAATATCCTGGATATATGAGCACAGTAACCATGGTAACCAGGGTAACTCTTACCTTCTTATCAACCTTCGCTTTGACCTTGACATCCTTCTTCTCTTTCTCAGACTGCATGTTGTCATAGATACTGTCATATTCATATACTGTGGCATCCTCTGACAACGCCTTGTCAATCTCGATCTGAGTCTGAAAATTACAAGGAACATTTTACTTTACAGTTTAGTTCCTCTTATTTGTCACTGTTCAGTCTGCATAAACCCATCTCATCATTGCTCATGACTGATTTGTTTGGGATGAATGATAATGTTCCTTTACCCCTTAATCTGCAATATTCCAACAAATATCATGATGACCTTTGAATAATTGAATCTGGGCCAGACAATTCAGTGATTGATAGATGAGTAACAATCAACACCAGTAGAAAGACAAGCAATCAACAAAGTCACCAAACCAGACTACCCGACATATCTGATTTTTGTATTTTGAAAACGAACATAAACAGACAGTTCCAAATGGCAATAATAAAGACTGTACTATTACATTATTGTGGATCGTATAGACTGAGCTCGGTGCCATCTACAACCGAAAGAGAGAACCATCAAACAAATATTTGTGTTCTAGGTGGTTTCTCGCCTCTAAGGTTGTTGGGGCCAATTCTAACCAGATAAACCAGTGATTGATAGCATAAGCAGCAATCCAAGCTATCAGGGTGCTGACACTATATACAAAGTTACAATGTGACTACCAGATCCTCATCATGGGAAGCTGGGGACCTATTTTAACCTGGAATTCCCATGCACTTTAAGGGGGTAGGTGAAATGTCATGTTCAAGATTATTGCGTGTGTGTGTGTGTGTGTGTGTGTGTGTGTGTGTGTGTGTGTGTGTGTGTGTGTGTGTGTGTGTGTGTGTGTGTGTGTGTGTGTGTGTGTGTGTGTGTGTGTGTGCTTGTCCAGACTTATGATAGTTTTATTGAACTAGCCCACTCAGACACAGAGTGAGTGTGAGTGTGTGTGTGTGTGTGTGTGCTTGTCCAGACTTATGCTAGTTTTATTGAACTAGCCCACTCAGAAACAGTAAACCGACTACAAGCCGACCAGTTCTTCTTTTATCTCCTTAATGTCAAGCACCAGGCAGGGTAACAACAAGTACTATCTTTGCAAATCTTATGGTATGGGGATCGAACCTACAACCTTCTGATCTCTGGCCAGAAACTCTACCCACTAGACCATGGATGCGGTATGCACTTTATGAAGCTCCATTAAGGCCGGTGTATGGCATATATTATGAGCAGTATATCATATTATTCTATTATTAGCAGTGAGTGAGTATTATAATTGTATTAGTAAAAATCACCCATAATCATAAGAGAATGGATATAAAGAATATAAATTTTTAAACTGAGAAATGTTATCCTTGCTTCCTGCTTCTTGGCTAGCTCATCATGTCTATTGTTACACTGACGGCTGGTGCAGCAACCGTTGGAAAAATTAAGATGTGAGTTATCTCCCCTGATCGAGTATGCAAGTCTTGGCAAGGGACTTCAGTCCTTCCAAATCCAACTTTGTGCTCGGGTATCCATTTGTTTGTTTGTTGTGATTGTTGTTTAACACCACAATCAGTATTATGTGAGCTACAAAATGGCAGCCTGTTAGACAATCATGTGACTAATATTATGAGTAACAATCAACCTCATCAGGGTACAATCACACGCTGACTACAAAGTCACCAAGTCTGATCACCCAGTCCATTAAGTCATGACCAATCGTATGACCAGCCTAAATTGCAGGGGCGGTCGGGTTGCCTATTGGTTAAAGCGTTCGCTCGTCATGCCCAAGACCCAGGTTCGATTCCCGACATGGGTACAATGTGTGAAGCCCATTTGTGGTGTCCCCCGCCGTGATATTGCTGGAATATTGCTAATAGAGGCGTAAAACCATACTCGCTCTCTCTAACCTGGAATCATTATAGAGCCCCACTAATCATGCTTACAACAGGATATATAATTGAATTACGCCCTCCATACTGACCTGTTTCTTAACTTTGAGGGACTGTGTGGTAGATCTCTGCATTGGGTTGACGTCTGCATTACCTGTGTCCTGTAACCATGGTAACAAAATAAAAACCAAAACATTATAAGACAATCAACATGATCTTGTTGATCACAAAAAGGGCAGATTAAAATGTTTGAGATATAACTGTCAACTCAAGACAAGGTTGGAAATCATTTTTTTTTTTCACTTATCTGCAAACCGAATCTGCTTCATAGCTGGAATCTACCTAATGGCAAAAGTGCTAGTCCACAAGGAAATGGCCTCCTGAATCTTTCTATTCTCGAACTAGATAACAACATATGTAAATTTTGAACCCTGATTCCAAGGGGAAAAGCTACAATTTCACAGCCACGTATTGGGGTTATCCCCAACTTGATGATGTACCTCATCACTGTCATCTCCAAATATATTGGGTCTTCTCTGTATGGAGGCTGTCTTGTTGTTCTTGGGGATAAGTAAACCATATCTGAAAGAAGACACATGGACTTAGCATGCAACAAAATGGAGATGGAGTATTGTATCGCGATACAAGGACCACGATACGATACCTCAAGTTACAACTCCTGTATCGCGATACATACAATACATTACATTTTTCAAGATATATTGGTGTAAAAACGTGTGAATAATAGCAGAAACTGTTCAACACCCAGCTAATGCAGATTCTTTCGAGCTTCCCAGTCAGTGACACGTATCGTAACCATCACAGTGCCTACTAGCCAAAATATTTCTGCCCACAATATTCCATCTTTGATCTCTAAAATTTAAAAACAAATTATTCTGGGTTTCAAATTACATGCAAAAAGAACAAATATCAACTTAATAAAATAAAAGAACAGTTTTAGGATACAAATCGTATTGCAGCCATAGCATCAGATACGTTTTGTATAGCGAGCCCACCATATTGTTACTCCTCTAGCATGTATAACAGGTTTAACGGTGTGTTCAAGAATATTGTGTTGGTGTGTGGCTGCTTTTACTAGTCCAGACTAATGCCGATTTAAAGTGCTAGCTCACTGAGATACCATGCCAAAGTTTAATATGAATACCCCACTCAGACACAGTTTACTGACTCAGAGCCGGCCAGTCCTTGTTTTAACCCCTTAAGGCCAAGCACCAGGCAGGGTAACAAGAAGTGTCATACATATGTTAGTATGACACGGTCGGGGATCGAATCCCTGGCTTTCCGCTATGCGTGCAGAAGCTCTACCCCTAGGCCAGAGAGGCAGTCAGTTCATTATGCATAGCAGCTTACAGGTGTTGGTCAAGTTTGAGTAGCAGACTAAGTAAGTAGTAGCAAGTAATTGTCATGGATCACTGAACCATTCACCTCAGATAAATCCATTAGCTACAAATTAATTCATTTTCGGACAGCACAACCAGTTCTGTTTTTGAGTTCATTTTTGTTGTAATTGTGACAGAGGCCATTCAGAATAGCATAAGTGAATAGCATGCATTCCAGGGATTTATCTACACCTGCTCAGAGGTCGTCATTAGGTCACAACTTGGATTTCAAAATAACTTAAAAGTATTTTATTAGTTAACAGTTATAGCTGATGCTATGTCTTAGTAGCAATGACTTGTATACCACATCTTCCTAAGGCAAGGGAGTTAAATGACTATAAAGTCCAGTTTCCACCCTTGCGTAACTCGGCTGGAATTATGGAGCTGTATTGTGGTACGACAAACGAGTCTATGCATATAGTCCAATCAAAATCGCATAATGAAATCAACATCCTGTTCGTAAACTGATGTGCAGGTTTCGGACGATTGCAGGATTTGCAAACCATGTGTACCGTCAACTTAGCATCAATAGATATTTTCTCAATCTTTACATGTTTTTAATCAAATAGCTCACATGATTTGATGTACTTTACGAAGTAAGACTCGTTTTATTACCATATAGATCTTGAATATTTATCAGACTGTCTTCACTGAGTGCCCTCATTTTATTTGAAGTAAATGCAAGTGATATCAGAGGTAGAATCTGATTGGTCAATAGGAGGGAAATAGAAGGGACATAACTCGTAATAGCCACTGGTGGTGCTAAGATCAAACCCAGAAATTCCAGTCCTGTTCGGCATGGGTGGAAACTGGACTTTTACAGTCATATAACTCCCTTGCCTTGGGAAGACGTACGTATATACCAGGACCAATAATGAGCAAGAGGCTTTAATGCTCGGATTGACATTATTGCATTGAATGTTTCGTTAAACATGTTAAAATACATCTGAAATTAAGAACGTAAGAAGGTTTAAAAAATCTCAATTTTGAATTTATAACACAAGAAAAATCCCTGTCTTCAATCTATACATCTATTCTATATACCGTATTCGATGTAATAAGCGCCCAAGGCACTCTCAAAATTAGAAAGAGGGGGCATTTATTAGAATATTATTTTGGTGGAAAAAACAGAGTTGAAAGATAAATTTCGTGGTTTATGCTGACAGCCTGACTGTTTATATACGACAGATATATTTTTCCAGAATTTAATTGCCCATAATTAAGAGTGCATATAACGCATGAGTGCGTATTATACATGATTAAATAGGTCTTGTGTACATTGATCAATCAGAAGGGGTGCTAATTGGGATTGTTCACTTGCCAATATATTAGCAAATATCGCCGTGGGCGCTTATTAGAACGGGGCGCTTATTACGTCGAACACGGTATTATTACCAGAGATTATTAACTTTCTTAAATGAAAATCTAAAAATACATTGAAACCACATATATTGGCCTGGGAAAACAACAGTTACAGGGACTTTGCTTGATATAATTGGCACGAGGACATTTTTCCGATCTTATCAACATTATAGAACATCCATTCAGCTCTATTAGTATCAAATTTGAAAAATCTTTAGGACATTTTGAGTCAAGGAAGACGAACCAATCTGAAAGTCCGACTTAGTGATTAAATGCCTTGATTCCGTAGATATAGCCTATACCACAACTTTTTCTGTGATGCAGTTGGTGATACAATGATAGATTTGGTAGTCTATAAACATGTAAAACACTAGTATCTAATGCAGATGTTCAAATATCACTCTAATACTACAAAGTAGACAAGAATGATTTGCATCATTAATATTAACCATAGCTGTGACCAAATTACATATCGGTCATTATACAATCTGTTGATTCCAGATTCACTCACTGCTTTTTGTTGCCGTCCATGTTGCTTCGTTCGAGTGACGTCCCTTGGCAAGGGCGGGTAACTCTATGTATGTGTGCCGTACCAGACCACGCCCCCTTGTTGATGTTGATTGGATTTCGTAAATGTACCAGTTTTCAATTGTGTCAAAGAAGGCATGTGAGAGAGAACAGATGACAATTTAGGAACGAATCCATTAGACATAAATCATCGCCATGGCACTCGGGAATGCAATAACAGTTTTGGAAAAGCAAAATTTAGGTACGTTGCAATAAATGTCTATCTCGAATCAATCATATTAGGATAGCAATTTACGATACAAGCTGTTATATGTCGTCATTTGTATGTAGTCACTGCACTTCATTTGAAACAGACTAATGAACATAAGGAGTAATGCATATCGATCACAGGCCCCTGAAGCAGGATAGTGATATTACTGAAACACCGGACATATGGAGCCCGTTTTGTTTGTTTGTTTGTTTGTTTGTTGTTTAACGCCGCACTCAGCAATATTCCAGCTATATGACGGCGGTCTGTAAATAATCAAGTGTGAACCAGACAATCCAGTGATTGACATCATGAGCATCGATCAACCAAGTCAGCGAGCCTGACCACCCGATCCCGTTAGATCCCTTTTACGACAAGCATGGGTTGCTGAAGACCTATTCTACCCCGGAATCTTCACGGGCCCGTATTGCAGTAATGTTACTATCCTGCTTCTGGGGCCCGTGATCGATATGCATTAATCACTTATGTTCAGCTGAAAAGAGTATGTAATGGACTTGACAACGTTCTTCTTTGCGAGACCGCCTCCGTGGTCTAGTGGTAGAGTGTCCGCCCGGAGAGCGGAAGCTCCTGGGTTCGATCCCCTGTCGCGTCATACCAAAAGGCGTTTAAAGATGGTACTTGTTGTTACCCTGTCTGGCGTTCGGCATTAATGGGCTAAAACAAGGAGTGGTTGCCTCTGAGTATGTATACTGTGTCTGAGTGGGGTATTCATGTTAAACTGCGGCATGGTATTTCAGTGAGCTAGCACTATAAATCGGCATCAGTCCGAACTAGAACAAGCAGCCACACACACACGTGCATGCACGCCGCTATATAAGTGCAATAATATTGAACGTGACGTTAAACCCAATTTCACAACCTCTACTTTGCGATTATAGCTATTACTTAAGAAGACTGGGCACAAGCCCGGATTCAGATTATTTTTAAACAGGGGGGAGGGAGCACTTAACATAACACATGCTTGATGAATGCACATAATTCCCGAAACAATTTGCGTTTTGTAGTCTCGATAACTTTGCTGAAAACATATCACCAAATGATTCAGTTACACGGTTTCTTGTACATTGCCATGTTAGGTATGTTTAATCAGAACCTTGTAATCCCATAACCACTAACCCCGCTCTGGATTAATATATATTTAGGGGTAGATTCATATACATGCTTCAGTCACACTGGTTATTTATGCAGCTGAACTGCGGCGTTAAACAGCATTCACTTTAAGAGTTAATATGCCTTTTAACACTGTATTAACAAATATTTCAGTTATATCACGACGAGTCTATGAAATAACCATAACAATTAAACATGTAAAAAAACGCCTAACCCACATTATTCAAGCTAAGTATGTGGCGGATGTTTGTAAATAATACATTCTAGACCAGACAATCCAGTGATTGATAGTATGAGCAACGTCTCACACCGTCGGCGTGCGATGATGCGCAATCAACCAAGTAACCAAACCCTAATCACTCTATTCGGGGGCACGGGTGGCCCAGTCGTCTAAGGCGTCGCGATTCCCTGTGCAGAGTGCGTCCCTTGGGCACGCCAGAAAACTTTGATTGTGGGTTCGAATCCCGGTTCGCCCCGATTATGTTTCTAGGTTTGTCAGCACCATACCCGTGCTCGTGGGTTTCACCGAAGTGGTAAACGTCTGAGACCTGCATCACTTCGGGCTTTTCTCCCACATTAAGCTGACACGCCGCGATATAACTGGAATACTGTTAAAAGCGGCGTTAAACCCACCTCACTCACTCACTCACTAATCACTCTATTCATTGAATCTTAAGTAGTCTCGTGGGGCGGTCGGGAAGCCTAGTGGTTATAGCGTTCGCTCGTCACGCTGAAGACCCGGGTTCGAATCCCGACATGGGTACAATGTTTGAAGCCCATTTCTGGTGTCCCCCGCCGTGATATTGCTGGAATATTGCTAAAAGCGGCGTAAAACCAAACTCACTCACTCACTAAGTAGCCTCGTATGACAAGCACAGGATGCTGTTATCTATTGTAACCAGGGATCACAGCGGGTTTCAGAAGAAGAGTTTGTCCACAATACAATTCCTAGGAATTGCATTCGATTCTGTTTCAGGGCCACGAGTGGCCCGATCGTCTAAGGCGCCGCGATTCGCTGTGCAGAGTTGGGTCCCTTGGGCACGCCAGAAACCTATGATTGTGGGTTCCAATCCCGGTTCGCCCCGATTATGTTTCTAGGTTTGTCAGCACCATTACCGTTCTCGTGGGTTCCACCGAAGTGGTAAACGTCTGAGACCTGCATCACTTCGGGCTTTCCTCCTATATTAAGCTGACACGTCGCGATATAACTGGAATAATGTTAAAAGTGGTGTTGAACCCAACTCACTCACTTACTCGATTATGCTTCTGTGTTGCAGCTTTGACAATCAGCGTATTCTCAGTTCTTATAGTGTTTTATGTAGCACTGGCAGTATTTATCTACCGTCCGAATCGTCGAAGGCGTCAACGTGCTCGAGTGTTCACAGTGGTCGAGGACGACGACACCACTGAAGACGGGCCCAGTAGAGAAGGTCGAGAAGGACGCCGTCCTGATCTCACATCCGGGCCTTCCAATGTACACAGATCTTCAACCAATGAGCTCCGCGGCGTACTGGAGATTCCTTCCTGATACGTGTTTACATCCGGGAACTCAAGTGCCTGCTACTTTCCTGCATTGACCTTCCGTTGGGACCATTAATTTGTGATCTGTCAAATACCAATACTTTTATCATTATTCAAAAATAACATAATTAAAGTTCAGGTAATGATCTACTTGCAGGGTGACTGAAAAGTATATATATTCTAAAACCAGCTTACGAATTCATGTAGCTGCTAAATTCTGAATATATTTTTCGTGTAAATATTAGTGACACCCTATCATGCGATTTAGGTTCAGAAAGTGAAAATGATTTTCATTATTTTCTTGAATACCCTAGGTATACCAAATTCCGTTTTCAGTTAATTTCTGAAATTTTAGAAAGTGGTGTAATCTTTAATATTAATACACATATTTTTGGTAATGTAAACTTTTTGGAAGTTGTTTTTACACCAGTTCATAAATATACTCAGCGATGAAAGAAACGCGAATACCATACATGTTGGTTAATATTTGAAGTATTATTCATATTCAAGAGATTTTAGATTGGTTCGATGCACACACGAACGTACTGTCATGTTGTGTGAACCGACGCTCATGAACGCATCACATGTGACGTCATAGATCCATGACGCTGGATGCACCATTTGTCTCGTGCAGGATTAGCGTGTAAAGTTTGGAAATCACGTGCAGCATATCGTTATAAGAATAAAGGCACTCTGTGGTAACACTTGACTGAGTGTGAGTTTTGTCATTAAGTGGTGCACATTGGAAATATCTATTCTCAACGTACATACTTCTCTATATGTTTCTATGGTTCGCGTTCCTTTTGCGGTGAGTATATATAATGTGTGTGTGTGTGTGCGTGCGTGTGCGTGTGTGTGTGTGTGTGTGTGTGTGTGTGTGTGTGTGTGTGTGTGTGTGTGTGTGTGTGTGCGCGCGCGCGCGCATAATAAAACTTAATCTTGGTTGACCAATGTTAGCATATGTCAACTGATGTACATCACACTTTGGTTGACCTGTATTGCCCATACCTACAGAACTCCGGAGTGCGATACTCTGGTAAGAAACCTCCAAGTAGCGTCTTCGGTAAAGCTAATTTGTTTCATTTATTAATTCAAACATGAAAATGAAAACATTTTGATGAAGAAAATTAACCAGGTGTTGATGGTTTATGTGAGGGAGTATGGTTTTACGCCGCTTTTAGCAATATTCCAGCAATATCACGGCGGGGGACACCAGAAATGGGCTTCACACAATGTACCCATGTCGGGAAACGAACCCGGGTCTTCGGCGTGACGAGCGAACGCTTTAACCACTAGGCTACCTGACCGACCCTGATGGTGTATGTGTATTCTGACATGCGTCCTGGAGACGTAACTTTCGTTGGTTGATATAAGTACTTGAGAAACAATAATGCAACTTTGATGATGATTTTGCATCTCGTTTGCTGTTCTACAAGTTATGGGGCGGTCGGGTAGATTTCTAGTGCTAGCTCACTGAGATACCATGCCGCAGTTTAACATGAATATCCCACTCAGACACAGTATACTGACTCCGAGCCGACCAGTCCTTGTTTCAGGCACTTAATGCCGAGCGCCAGACAGGGTAACATCAAGTACCATCTTTCAACGTCTTTTGGTATGACGCGGGCATGGATCGAACCCCTTCCGCACTCCGGGCGGACGCTCTACCACTAGACCACGGAGGCGGTCGTCCATCAGTTTGGACAAGAATTTCCAGAGTACTTCTGACAACATAATATATTGCTCTAATCAGGGTTGATTGTTCCATATTTGTTTTGTTATCAGAAGTAGAAATTTAAGTTTTTAAGTTTTAAAAAAATTAATTTTAGGTTATTCATTGACAAAATCGTTTAGCCAATAAAGTATTAATACTCTCTAAATCGTTAAAGTTACGGAGGTGAGTTTGAATCATGAGGTGCCTAAAAGAAAACCCTCATTCACAGTAATCTATATTCGTAGAAAATAGTCGCCTCCAATAATGTAAGGTATTGTTTTGATGGTCATATCTCTGCCATACCGGATGCGTTGTGTGTGACAGTTGTTAAACATTACAGCGTCATGGCTGTTGTATTGTACTCCCCGATACGGGAATAATCTCTGCGTTTTTATAAAACAAAATATATGCATTAACACATATTTGACAAGGACAAGGGAGGTACTCCGGTACAGAAGCAGCAGGTGTTACAGATACATCATCTCAACACAAAAACAGAACAATCATCAATTAACCGTGTTCTTTATATTAATGACAAGGTCAGTCAATATGTTTACAGAACAGCCACTTGGAAAGGTCAGTCAATATTTTTACATAACAGCCTATTGATAATGTGACGTAACACTTCCAATATACAGTAAAGTACGTTTATAACGAACACGCTTATAACGACTTGACCTATAAAACGAACTTATTATTTAGTCCCGACCATTTATTGTATAAATGCTGTATATATGCCTATAACGAACTACGGTTATTACGAACTAAAATTAGTGGCCCCTTTGAGTTCGTTATAACCGTAGTTTACTGTAGGCCTATACACACATGAGGTCTTTTGTCGAACAGAAGACTAAATCTATGGACGTTTGCTATTTTCGATATTTGTTTGAAAAGCACTCCGCGGTCGTCATTATGAACAGTGTATTTTTAATAAACGAAACAATTCAGCATATTATACTTTGGATGCTGAATTGAAGTTAAACTCTAAGGAAACTATTACAAGTTACATTTTACAATAATAAACTGCTGTTTGTTTTCATTGGCGCCCTGATGTTTGCAAGGTTACAATTGGACAAAGGGCGTCTCGTGAGATTTCAAGATATCCGACTAGCCGTCTCCCAGGTGACGGAATGACACGAGTAGTGACCATTGCTGTATTAAAGAAGTTTGTTCACCTCGAGTTTAAAAATGTTAAAATCACAGTCCCATTTTTATGTTTCATTTGTCAAAATTACCCTAACGTATTTCCATTCAACGTAAACATAATATCAATCCCATATTAATCTCTCATTCGTGACAACTCGTGTCAATCCGGGACAAATCGCGAGTGGTCACGATTTCATGGCGTCAAGAGATCTCCTTAGTGCTTAGTTTTGTAGTGACAGAGAAAACTATCAGTATGTGTATGCACAGTTATTTAATACACTCACAACGTCCAAGACAACATAAATGTGAGTGAGTTGGGTTTAACGCCGCTTTTAACAGTATTCCAGTTATATCACGGCGTGTCAGCTTAATGTGGGAGGAAAGTCCGAAGTGATGCAGGTCTCAGACGTTTGCCACTTCGGTGAAACCCACGAGCACGGTTATGGTGCTGACAAACCTAGAAACATAATCGGGGCGAACCGGGATTCGAACCCACAATCATAGGTTTCATGCGTGCCTAAGGGACGCAACTCTGTACAGCGCATCGCGGCGCCTTAGACGACTGGGCCTGCCGTGCCCCCCAAGACACCATAAGGTGTGTGTGTGTGTGTGTGTGTGTGTGTGTGTGTGTGTGTGTGTGTGTGTGTGTGTGTGTGTGTGTGTGTGTTGGTGTGTGTGTGTGTGTGTGTGTTTGTGTGTGTGTGTTATAACTAACTGCTTCTTTTTTGCCTTGGAAGTTTATTTAGTAACGCAATACCGTACATTTTGAAAGCTCTTTGAACGCCAAATTCTAAAAAACTAAAAGAAATGTAGGGTCTAGTTACAGTTAAGGTAGACGTCCAGAAGGTATATTGTAATACTCGGCGACTTGGTTGCTTGTGTGTAATCGTACCAAGACGGCAAGGGGCATTGCTGATACTCTCAGTCACAGGTTTGTCTGGCCCAGAATTGATTATTTACAGGCCGAGTGATATGTCTGGAATATTGCCGAGTGTTACAAAACAAACAGAGTGTGCTATTATAGGTCTAAGACCTGCACTGCAAACACGCTTATGGAACTCAGCAGCTGGTTCCAATGATAAGGACGCAGCGTTGTAGGTCACCATAACAACGTTTCAAAAGTTGTGAAAACTCAAATTTACATGCACCTGAAATGGGGTATTTGCGTTCTTCTCGAAGGCTACCGATTCACAGAATAATATCAATTAGTAGAATAATGTGTAGAGAACACTCGGAAGTATACTAATCAGTGAGAGAAGTGTTTGCAGATTATTGACACAACACTTCAGTATCAAAAGGGCGTTATGCTGATTATCAGGAATCTTTATTTTAGCACCACGGTATTGGATACGTGTCATCGAATCATCAGCGTCACCGAAGGATAAATACTGGATCTCGTGAGGGAAGTCAGTCAGTATCACACACTCATCAGCGTCACCGAAGGATAAATACTGGATCTCGTGAGGGAAGTCAGTCAGTATCACACACTCATCAGCGTCACCGAAGGATAAATACTGGATCTCGTGAGGGAAGTCAGTCAGTATCACACACTCATCAGCGTCACCGAAGGATAAATACTGGATCTCGTGGGGGATGTCAGTCAGTATCACACACTCATCAGCGTCACCGAAGGATAAATACTGGATCTCGTGAGGGAAGTCAGTCAGTATCACACACTCATCAGCGTCACCGAAGGATAAATACTGGATCTCGTGAGGGAAGTCAGTCAGTATCACACACTCATCAGCGTCACCGAAGGATAAATACTGGATCTCGTGAGGGAAGTCAGTCAGTATCACACACTCATCAGCGTCACCGAAGGATAAATACTGGATCTCGTGAGGGAAGTCAGTCAGTATCACACACTCATCAGCGTCACCGAAGGATAAATACTGGATCTCGTGAGGGAAGTCAGTCAGTATCACACACTCATCAGCGTCACCGAAGGATAAATACTGGATCTCGTGAGGGAAGTCAGTCAGTATCTTAGTGTGTGAACAGAGTCGGTGGGCGGCTTCATGAAAGCTCTGCTCGAAAAAGAAGATCTATTGTAATTTACACAGTAGTGTCACAGAAGAGGGAAACAACGGAGACTCCAATGATTTGGCCGGATAGAGAAAGCTAGATTCTGGAGAAGACACACAAGAGGACAAATTTAAGAGATTTTTTTCAGGATCTTAGGGACATGAAAATGTGCACTGAAGATTCAATGAATCATTGAAGCCACTGTATACGTATTCTGTTACATTCAATCAAGAAGTTTTAAAACCGGTGGCTTAAAATGGTGTCCATGAAAGGTCTGTGCCGATTCTGCTTGGGTGTGATTATATTTTTGACTGTGACTGTGACTGCTAATCCGACGTCAAAGGATGTTCAAAATGTCCTCAACTTTCTACAGAATAAGGTTGACCGTCGTCTTCGGCCAGTTTCCAACCAGTCTAAACCTGTTGGTGTCAGCTTGACCTTCCACATCCTCACCATCACGGACCTCGATGAAGTCGAGCAAAAGTTATCCTGCACGGGATGGATGGATATCTCGTGGACCGACGAGTTCATGACGTGGAACGAGACTGAATACAATGGCATCAGACAAGTGTATCCGCCCTCTGACTCGCACTGGCTTCCTTTCCTAGCTGTGGCCAATTCCATCGAAGAGATGCGTCCTCTTGGACAGAACATTATCATCACCAAGGCGTTGTCTAACGGTACAATGCACTGGTACCCCGCAGACTCCTTCATTACGGCCTGTACCGTCGACATCAGTAAATACCCGTATGACACCCAGACATGCGTGATAGAATTCTTTCCCTGGGGGAGATCATCTGATGAAATTAGGATGATGGTGGGGGATGGTGTTCCTCTTTATAATTACCGTGAAAATGGAGAATGGGAACTGATAAAGGCATATATGCATCCGTGGACGAAGTTTACTGGTACTGGCTATATCTCCATGGCGTACGTCACCTTCATCATCCGACGGCGTCCAGCGTTCTTCATCCTGAACGTCATCCTACCCGTCCTCCTCCTGTCGCTCCTCAACGTCCTGGTGTTCCTCCTGCCGGCTGAGTCAGGGGAGAGGGTGTCCTATGCCGTCACGGTGCTCCTTGCGCTGGCAGTGTACCTAAGCTTCATCAGCGAGACCATGCCCAAGACCGCGGAGTCAGTGTCCATGCTGTCCGTCTACTTGACCATCATGCTAATTGTCAGTGCGACCAGTGTGGCTGGGTCGATCTGGACCCTCGTGCTCTACCACCGAGACCGGAAGAGACCGATTCCAAGATGGCTGACTCGCTTCATACGTAGACGACGACGGCAGACGGCCCCCACTTCTGGAGCGGACAGTCAACAGAGGGAAGATGACCAGTTTCCTGAAGGTAAACAGAACGAGACAACTTGGGTTCATATATCCAGACATGTTGACAAAATCTTCTTCTCAATCTGTATGCTGGTGATTGTGCCCGCTACCGCCCTGCTCATGGTCATGATATTTCTATGAGGCACTGAATAATATCAGACCGCCTCCGTGGTCTAGTGGTAGAGCGTCCGCCCGGAGAGCGGAAGGTCCAGGGTTCGATCCCGGCCGCGTCATACAAAAAGACGTTCAAAGATGGTACTTGTTGTTACCCTGTCTGGCGCTCGGCATTAAGGGGCTAAAACAAGGACTGGTCGGCTCGGAGTCAGTATACTGTGTCTGAGTGGGGTATTCATGTTAAACTGCGGCATGGTATCTCAGTGAGCTAGCACTATAAATCGGCATCAGTCCGGACTAGTACAAGCAGCCACACACACACATACACGTGCATGCACGTCGCTATATAAGTGCAATAATCTTGGACGCGACGTTAAACCCCATTTCACCTCACCTCACCTGAATAATATCAAGTCCTGATTGAAGAGGGCTATGATTCACAGTTTGTTGCCCACTTTCAGTTTGGGCCTAGTCGTAATGATAAACGCACGTAAGTTTTTCTTTTGGAAACGTGGGGGTGCACTTAAAATAGAAAATGGAAATGGAAATAATTTAGAAAAGAGTTAAGTCCGTTTATTTTTATTTTATGTCCCAAAAAAGTTTGATAAGGGTTAGAACATTCAAGACCTCAGCAAAGTTATCGAAACGTTTCATGGTAGATTTGTGGAGGACATTTCCAAATTTCCATACCTTTTCACTAACAGCTGGTATCATCACTATTTGATGATGATTTCATAAACACATGCTCATGAGGAGAGGTGAGGTGAAATTGGGTTTAACGTTGCGTCCAAGATTATTGCACTTATATAGCGACGTGCATGCACGTGTGTGTGTGGCTGCTTGTACTAGTCCGGACTGATGCCGATTTAAAGTGCTAGCTCACTGAGATACCATGCCGCAGTTTAACATGAATACCCCACTCAGACACAGTATACTGACTCCCAGCCGACCAGTCCTTGTTTTAGCCCCTTAATGCCGAGCGCCAGACAGGGTAACAACAAGTTCCATCTTTTAACGTATTTTGGTATGACGCGGCCGGGGATCGAACCCCGAACCGTCCACTCTCCGGGCGGACGCTCTACCACTAGACCACGGAGGCGGTCACATGCTCATGATATTGTCGGAATCGTACAATGGAGATTTCTTACGATTATGGAAGGTATTTTGTCTCTTTTATTTATACGTCAAAAGGCATCTACGTATGAATTACCTAGCGAAGTTTTAACATGAATTGTTAAATACTAGTTTCTGACAGTTTGTACGAGAGTTATTTAATTTAAAATACATGAACATATAAAGTGTGACTTCTCCTCGATTAGCCTGTGTCTAATACTTCTCCGTTCTATTGAAAAATACCCGTCTTCAGACCCAGTCACCTCCATGGCTTCGTTTCGGAAGTGACGTCACAGATCGTAACTTACAACAGATTTTCTCTCGCTCAACTTATGAACGCCGGCATATATCAACATTCACACTTGTCCTTGTGCAATATCATTAAAATTAGATTTTAATACTCGCTACCGCTAATCACAAATCTCAGGACACCCGACCTTTCGCGAACTTCGACTGACCAATGAAAAGACTGATAAGAAGTCGACATAAACCAATCAGCTTTCTCGAGCTTTACAGCACTTGTTTGGAACTGACGACTATATATATATATATATATCTTCAAGATTTGTAAACTGGACAAAGTATAATTCGGGAATGTCTAATAGATGGCCGATATTATATGGCAATACTAATCATGGGCTATGAAAGTGTCTGTCGTTTCTAATGTTTATCCCATCGTAACGAGAAATAGACGTACAGTCCGTAACTGTCGCTCAGAAAACACCCGTGTTGACCTTTTCGAGATTGGCTTGATCAGAAAACACATTCCGACTGACACTTTTCCGATCTGGTAATCGACGCTCTGAAAGGTCGGAGAAACGTTCGCTCGTGATTGGATGTCCTTAGGTTTTGCTTAGCGGTAGAGAAACCTAAAATCTGATTTTACTACAATCATGCGATAATTTAATAGAATGAGAAGAGCAATATGAAGGATTTTTTCTGGAAAAGATCTTTTCCTGCGAACTCATTTAAGACAAGGGGAAGTCATCGACAAGACGTTTATTTAAGAATGAACACAAAGACTATCGAGGTGATATCGCCGCTTTTTGCAATCACGACCCATTTTGTGTAATTTGATTGGATGTCTATTTCTAACGTCGTGTCATTTGAATCGGAGTCTTACCAATGGTATTGTGGCGAATGGCTCCATGTTTTATGTTTTTCTCATCTCCAACCTCAACGGGTGGCCCAGTCGTCTAAGGCGCCTCGATTCGCTGTGCAGAGTTGCGTCCCTTAAAATTGGGCACACCAGAAACCTATGATTGTGGGTTCGAATCCCGGTTCGCCCCGAGTATGTTTCTAGGTTTGTCAGCACCATACCCGTGCTCGTGGGTTTCACCGAAGTGGTAAACGTCTGAGACCTGCATCACTTCGGGCTTTCCTCCCACATTAAGCTGACACGCCGCGATATAACTGGAATACTGTTAAAAGCGGCGTTAAACCAAACTCACTCACTCACTCCAACCTCAACCAGTAAAGAGAGCGGGCGGGCGAAATTAAAAAACTAAAAATAATAAATATAAATATAAAAAACCGTTTTTCACTGATTGCGGAGCTTATTTTATGAAATTGTAAGTAAAGAACACCTCGTAACAACCCTAAAATAAATTTATGACGTCGTTTGAGTTGCTTTGCGATTTTTTTTTAAATATAGCTGAAGAAAGATCATGCTGACCTGATTTTATTAGTTTGCAATTGTAGGAGTATTATTTTAGCACATCGAGGCATACATTTCCACAGCTGCGGGGACAAATGAGATAAGATATCTTTTTATTATTTTACGCCAAAACGAAAATTCAGGGCGGGTGGGAGATGGGAAACTCAGAAAAATATACCGACAGTCCTACTCCAATGTCTTTGTTCAATAGCTGGTAATTTGTTTTGCCTTGTCATACCCGTTGTTAAGTGGGAACCGTTTAAGAGCTCCATCACTTGAGGCTTATTTTTTTCCTTATGTTTTTTGACAATCAGTTATATATAACTGAGGTACACTTTCTCACTCGGTTTTATATATGATTTGGAAGATGATTACCATTACCTGGAGATGTGCCTTAGTTAGAATGTGTTCAGCAGATTGTATTTACCAAATATGAGTACAGGATTCTTTGCATCTTTATGATTATCAATTTATTAGAGACGTTATTGATATCTTATTATTGCAAGCAAATTTAGCTGTTGTCCTACACTGAATAAACATTGTTCATAAAACAGTTTTAGCCGTTGTCGTCATCTTTCTCTCCGTTGAAACCTCCCCAGTGATGAAGCGTCATGTTCGTAACAATGAGAACACAAAGGGACCGACCGTTAGAGGCGACTAACGGGATCGGGTGGTCAGGCTCGCTGACTTGGTTTATGCATGTCATCGATCCCAATTGCATGGATCGATTATCATGATATCAATCACTGGATTGTCTGGTCCAGATTCGATTATTAACAGACCGCCATCATATAGCAGGAATATTGCTGAGTGCGGCGTAAAACAACAAACCAACCAACCAACCAACTAAGGGGCCGACCAAGGGCCATTCTTTTATAAAATATTTAAGCTTATACATGTACCTTTAATTAAAATAAATATCTGGTTTTCCATCTGTATCTAGTTTCCATATAAAATGAACCCCGGTCCCTAATTTGTGTGCACGCCATCTCCTGATAAAATCATCTTCCCGAGGCAAGTGAGTTAACTGACTTTAAAAGTCCAGTTTACACCCTTGCCGAACTAGGCTGGAATTTCTTGGCTCGATCGTAGCGCCACCAGTGGCTATTACGAGTTATGTCCCTTCTTTGCCCCGCCTATGGACCAATCAAATTCCACCTCTCGTACCACTTGCATTTGTTTCAAACAAAATGGCGGCGCCCTGTCAAGACGATCTGATCGATAATTCCAGATCAATATTGTCATAAAACGGGTCTTACATCGCGAAATGCATCAAATCACGTGATCACCTTGATTAAAAACTTGAAAAGATTTGGAAAATATCTGTTGACAACGAGTTGGCGGTGCCCATGCTGTGCAAATCCCGCAATCGACCGAAATCTGCATGACAGTTTACGAACCGGATTTCGATTTCGGTGCACGATTTTGATTGGACTATGCATAGACTCGTTAGTCCAGCCAAACTCCATAATACCAGCCTAGTTCGGCAAGGGTGGAAACTGAACTTTTATAGTCAATTAACTCTCTTGCCGCGGGAAGATGGATAAAATTAGTTGGCTGTCATCCTACGCGAGTGTTTGGCTCACCCTTTAGAGAAACACATGGATGTCATCAACAGAAGAAACGGTCTGTCTCTAACAAAAGTCCAAGCCCAAACCCAACCAGAATATTACATAGTCGGTCCCTCAGTGGTTGGGATCCATTCATTACAGAACTGTTCATACTTTGAAAGTTGTTCTTATATCACTTTAACTGAAACAGTGGCAAGAAGTAGCTTTCATGTCCTACAGACTTCAAAATTTCAGGCAAAGGCCTCCTGTTTCAGCTCTATCGGACATAATTCGGTCGTTTTCGGGGGTTGCTTTTGTCAGTTTGAACTGTATAACGGTGAAAACAACCAGTAGCGTCCAACACCGAAACTACATTACACACATTTCGAGAACACTTGATAGGTGTGTGGCGCGGACAAGCTGGTGTAAAAAAAAAGGCGTGTCAGAAATCTATGATAGATGGTTCAAATCCCAGATTCGCCCTGATTATATTCCACATTGGCAAATGTCTAAAACCTGAATCACATTTAAGCTGACACGTCGTGATATGGCCACGTGAAGATCCGGGGTAAAACAGGTCTGCAGTAACCCATGCATGCAGTTAAGGGCGACCATGCTTGTCGTAAGATGCGACTAACGGGTGGTCAGGCTCGCTGACTTGGTTGAGGCATGTCATCGTGTCCCAATTGCGTGGATCGATGCTCATGATGTCAATCACTGGATTGTCTGGTCCAGACTTGATTATTTACAGACCGCTGTCATGTAGCTTGAATATTGCCGAGTGCGGCGTTAAACAACAAACAAAACAAAACAAGAAAACCGTGAATGCCGTGATATAACTGGCATACTATTCAAAGCGGCGTAAACCACAACTCACTCACCCATTAATACCATGAATCCGGTTGGAGGTCTATGAGTACTCGGTCATTCCATGCAAGGCTTTCTTTGTGTGGTCAGTAAACATAGATTCTTGACAGTTCTATGACAGTTATCCCTTTTAGTGAGATATTTCCTGTGTTTAATGAATGTGTGGTATACCGTTACTTAGGTTCCTGGGAACTTTAATCCATCCTGGAAGGTCGGTGGTTCGAACGACTGGTCGCGTCGTACCAAAAGACGGTAAAATACGGTACGTGTTACACTGCCTGAGGCTTGGCATTCTGGGGATGAAATAAGGACTGGTCCTCTCAGAGTCTGTATCCATGTATCTCAGTATCACACAAACTCGCACGCACGCACGCACGCACGCACGCACGCACAAGCGACTGAAATTAAAATGTTAGTGTACGATATGTGACCTAGCTGATTGTGTGTCATTCATTTATACCGATGGCACGGCTCGTTGCTTGTAAGAGGCGACTAACGGGATCGGGTCAGGCTTGCTGACTTGGTTGATCAATGTCATCGTATCCAAATTGCATGGGACCCGTGAAGATCGGGTTAGAATAGGTCTTCAGCAACCCAGGCTTGCCGTAAAGGGCGACTATGCTTGTCGTAATAGGTGACTAGCGGGATCGGGTGGTCAGGCTCGCTGACTGGGTTGAAGCATGTCATCATATCGCAATTGCTTGGAACGATGCTCATGATATTAATAACTGGATTGTCTGGTCCAGACTCGATTACTTACAGACCACCGTCATATAGCTGGTATATTGCTGCATGAGTGCGGCGTTAAACAACAACCAAACCAAACCAAATATAATGCACGTGCACTCCAAATCTAACTGATACCATTACAACATAAATGCTTTGCCTGTTTATATGTGCACTGGATTCGTAAAACCGCCAATATCAATACATCATGGAAGTTAATGCGAGCACACATGGCCACGCCCATTAGTCACGTGACTGTCTAAGTACACATAGTACACTTGCCGCGAGACAACACGCAATAGTCGCGGCACGCGTCACACATGTCCCTCGTGCTGCACTTGGCACATCCTGGGGCACATCCTGGAAACAGAGAAAACATAAGTTCAGAAGCTCACCCTTAGATGTGTTTGTTTGTTTGTTTTTGTGTTTGTTTGTTATCTAACGCCGCACTATTCTAGCTATATGAAGGCGACCTGTAAATAATCGAGTCTGGCCCAGACAATCCAGTGATTGACATCATGAGCAAATATGAACGTCTGGGGATACGATGACATATATCAGCCAAGTCTCTGAGCCTGACAACCCGATCCCGTTAGTCGCCCATTTCGACACGCATGGGCTGCAGAAGACCAAGACTAACCCGAACCTTCACAGGTCAGATGTTCTGGTCTGAACACCAATGCTAATATACACCCTCATTCGAGCTAGTTTGAGGATATTTTATGAGGTAAACATTGAATATATAATGCTAGAAGGCGAGCATTCATTCATTTTAGTCTTGTCAAAACACGTACACGTGAAAAAGGCCTGACTGAGACACGAAACCAAACAACTAAGGCCAACATTGCCGACACTTTCAGTTGTATAAAATTCATTCTTTAGTGGTAAAATGCTAATCCTAAGGCTGACAGAGGGATGCTGGAGTGTGCAGCTGTATTTAATCACCCACCCCTTACAGATGGCGTGTTTCGCCGTCCAGTTGAAATTCATGGCATTTGGGTTGTGTGCGTGTGTCTGAGTTTGAGTAAGTGAGTATGTGTGCGTCTGTGAGTGTGTCTCTGTCTCGATGCGTCTGTGTCTGTGTCTGTGCGAATTGGTGCAAAATAGATCGATCCTGGATTAATGTTTATTGGAACATGAACGACAAAAATCATTTATTCCAAGGAATGAACTTGTGTTTTCACCTCACATTCAGATACCATCTTGATGGTTTAGTGAGTGAGTTAAAATTTAACGTCGCATCGGCATTATTTCAGCCATATAGCGACGAGTGGTGGTTAAGGCGGTTGTTTTCCTCACCTGAGCAGAGAAGCTCCCCTTCTTCTACGAGTCTGTACCAGCCATCTGGACAAAGAGGGCCCTTGGTGCAGTAGTACTGAGGCTCGGTCCTGCCGGGAAGCAAGGTCAATAACGTCATCCTCGATTATCCAGTGTATTATTATTATTATTTTTTTATTTTTTTATTTATTTATTTTATTTTATTTTTTTTTAAATTTTAATTATCATTAGACCGCCTCCGTCGTCTAGTGGATACAACGTCTACCCAGTGAGCGGATTTGGATGCTAACCTGCGGCATGGTATCTCAGTGGGCCAGCACTATGAAACCACACGCCCACGCACACGCACACGCACGCACGCACGCACGTGAATGCACGTCCCTATAAAAGTGTAATAATCTTAAACGTGACGTAAAATTCCATTCTCCAATACTCCAGTCAGATAACTGCAGGTAGACTACAGAAATAGGCAATCTCATTAAAATCAGATCTTAGTTTTCGCTACCGCTAAACATAGATCTGAGGACAACCCATTACGGGTCACGCCAGAACAACCTTTTATCCAACCAATCAGAGGGTCGCTTACCAGATCATGAAAGTAACGGACGGTATGTGTTTTCTCATCATGCAACCTCAAAAAATTTAACAGAGGGTATTCCGAACGACAGTTACGGGTTTTATGATTATATCCATACAATCCAGACCATCTATAAGCCATTCCAGAATGTTCTTTTTATCAGTGTTAAATTTTTTAATCGAGACTACGTCAAAATATATTTCGAAGCGCAGTCACCAGTTTGAAACGTGTCGTAAAGCTCGAGGAAGCTGCCTTCTGATTGGCGAATGTCGTTTTCTTGTCCGTCATTTCATTGGTTGGTCAAAGTTCGCGAAAGGTCGTTCTGACGTGACCCGTAATGGGATGTCCTCAGATCTTTGTTTAGCGATAGCGAGAACTAAGATCTGATTTTAATGAGATTGCAGAAATAGGCTTCATACATATGTACCCACGTGGGAATTGAACCCGCTAGCCTACCCTACCGCGCCATGTATATCTAACAGATGTTCCAAACCAAATTTATTCACAGCTCAATTGATTCGATTCAGCGTAAGCCTCTGTGATTACTTACACGCTCTGCGAGACCAGAACCTGCACGCCCTTATAGTTCTGCATACCAAATGAGAAACCCGCAGAGTGGTTGAAGTGCTTGGGGTTAGAGATGCGCAGATATCCGTCTGCGCATTGGTTACAGCCTTGATTGCCGAACGTCTGGACCACGGAACACGGATGGATACAGTGATCTACTTCTTTCGGACATGGTGCTAAAAAATAAGTTCGTAATCCTGTTCACATAAACAAGGACGATCAGGGCGACTGTAATTTTTGAAATTATCTTTGTTTGTTTGTTTGTTGTTAAAATCCAGCAATATTCCAGCTATATGACGACGGTCTGTAAATAATCGCGTCAGGATCATATTATCATGAGCATCCGTCTACGCAACTGGGATACGATGACATGCATCAAGCAAGCCGGCACATCGGAGAGTGTGATCAGGGAGATGTGAAAGTTGGTTCTGTGAGAAACTGGACCACAGAGCCTTTCATGTATCCAAGTTTTCGAAATTTAAACTTATTTTATTTTAAAGAAGTACACGATAAACGTTTTCTTAACCATTTAAAAGTTCAAAGGTTTTGTAGCAGAAGATAGATGCATTTGTGAAAACTGTATCCTTAACTTAATTGAACTGAGCGGCGGCCATTTTGATTAATTTTTTTAAAATGCAGAGTCGATCTTGGTCTGTGAAAATGAATTTACATGTTCACTGGTGTAAAAAAAGGAGCTCAGTGAATTGGCGGACGGACGAACGGACGGACAAAACCCAAGCTCTAATGGACTTTCTCAAAGAGAGTTAAAACTAATGTTAAAAGACAGTGGGATGGTGGGACACCCAGTAGACAACACATGTAAATATTACAGTCTCGAGATAACAGGCTGGCAGACAGTAGGACACCGAATGGACAACACATGTAAATATTACAGTCCCAGGATAACGGGTTGGCAGACAGTGGGATGGTGGGACACCCAGTAGACAACACTTGTAAATATTACAGTCCCAGGATAACGGGCTGGCAGACAGTGGGATGGTGGGACACCCAGTAGACAACACATGTAAATATATCAGTCCCGGGGTAACGGGCTGGCAGACAGTGGGATGGTTGAACACCCAGTAGACAGAACATGTAAATATTATAGTCCCGGGGTAACGGGCTGGCAGACAGTGGGATGGTGGGACACCCAGTAGACAGAACATGTAAATATTATAGTCCCGGGGTAACGGGCTGGCAGACAGTGGGATGGTGGGACACCCAGTAGACAACACATGTAAATATTACAGTCCCGGGGTAACCAGTACACCCAGTACACAACAGGAGTACGTGAAACGTTTCATTGCTGAAACGTGACTCTGGTTTCCATGCTTTATACAGTGGGGATAGCAGGAGTCATGTTTGATTTATGAAAAGTAACATTTAAGTCAAACGAAACGAGAAAATATTTTAACTTACCTTTTTGTCCATGAATACTAACTGCACAAACAACAATAAAGACAAAAGTAAAAATCATTACTGACTTTCAGGAACAATCAGGTAAAGACCTCGATCGAGTTCCGAGGAGGGTCTAGAAGAGGGGTCATACAGCCAGTAAATATATATTTCCAATCGTCGACTTACTATGTTCGCTGGTGTGGAAAATCAGCATAAAGTGAAATCATTTTCTTTTCACATAGCCAATTTGGATATATATCGAGGAAGTCGTGAGGGACACAAGACTTTTGTTTGTTGTTGACACCGAATTAAGAAATAGTCCAGCTAAAAGATTGCAACCTTGAATTTATAGGTTCTGAACCAGACATACCACTGACTGATTTGTTTGTTTGTTGTTTAACGCCGCACTCAGCAATATTCCAGCTATATGACGGCGGTCTATAAATAATCGAGTCTGGACCAGAAAACCCACTGATTGACATCATGAGCATCTATCCACGCAATTGGGATCGATTACACGCATCAACCAAGTCAGCCAGCCTGATCAGACAATCCCGTTAGTCGCCTCTTTCGACAAGCTTAGTTGCCTTTTACGACAAGCATGGGTTGCTGAAGATCTATTCTAACCCGGATTTTTCCGGTCTACCGGTGATTGATATTATGAACAACATGCCACGCAATCACCGAACTTGTCCAGTTGATCCATCACGTCGCCTCCTATGACCAGCATAGGTTGCTGGGGACAAATTCTAACCCGGGAATCCCAACGGGGTACAAAACATAAGATATTAAGACCGTAATATTCAGTCCGATGGTGTACCTTTCTTCATTCAGGTATGACGGGAACCCTGACCATACGACCGCCTCCGTGGTCTAGTGGTAGAGCGTCCGCCCGGAGAGCGGAAGGTCCGGGGTTCGATCCCCGACCGCGTCATACCATAAGACGATTAAAGATGGTACTTGTTGTTACCCTGTCTGGCGCTCGGCATTAAGGGGCTAAATCAAGGACTGGTCGGCTCGGAGTCAGTAAACTGTGTCTGAGTGGGGTATCCATGTTAAACTGCGGCATGGTATCTCAGTGTGCTAGCACTATAAATCGGCATCAGTCCGGGCTAGTACAAGCAGCCACACACACACGTGCATGCACGTCGCTATATAAGTGCAATAATCTCGGACGCGACGTTAAACCCCATTTTCACCTCACCTCACCGTGACGATACATATTAGAATTGGTCTTCACCAACCCATGCTTGCCGAAAAATGCGACTAAAGAGATCGGGTTTTCAGTCGCTGACTTGTTGATGCATGTCATCGTATCCCGAATGCGCAGGTCGATGCTCATGATGTCAATCACTGGATTGTCTGGTCCAGACTCGATTATTTATAAAGCTGGAGTATGAAAGAGTGCGGCGTAAAACAACAACCTTTAAGCACAAACATTTGTAGGTGGATTTGTTAATTACATGTTATTAATTAGAACTTCGTTTTCTTGTATGATTCACAGCCAATCGTACCCAGATCCTCGGCACGACTCTCTTTCCAGTACCCTACAATCAAACGATGAACACACAAAAGAGGAGATACGGTAATCGCTCGGGTGAGTGTAAGCAGGAGAAGGAGCCCAATCAGGTCTGTGCCAGACAATGCTCTTACCAGACATCAAAGCTCTTCAGCAACCAGGCGACTATGCTTGTCGTAAGAGGAGACTGTCGAGATCGGGTGGTCAGGCTTGCTGACTTGGTTGAATCATGTCATTGATCCCAATTGCGTGGATCGACGCTCATGATGTCAATCACTGGATTTCCTGGTCCAGACTTAATTATTTTCAGACCGCCGTCATAGAGTGACGCGTTAAACAACAAACAAACAATCGAGACAGCATGAGCATCGATAAAGAAAGTCACCGAGTCACTCGATTCAGTCACCTTCTACGACAAGCACAGTTTGCTGCGCACCAATTTTCTTATCCGGGCTCCCACAGGATAACACGTGCAACACCGATGACGTTGAGTGAGTGAGTATGGTTTTACGCCGCTTTTAGCAATATTCCAGCAATATCACAGCTAGGGACCCCAGAAATGGGCTTCACACATTGTACCCATGTCGGGAATCGAACCCGGGTCTTCGAACGCTTCAACCACTAGGCTACCCGACCGACCCCCCGATGACGTTGACACACAATAAACCAACCAATTCCATTTTAGTGTGTGTTAATGTGAATTGCGATTTACCGTTGTGTTCAAGGTACGAGTAATTGCACTTATATAGCAGTGTGCATGCACGTGTGTTTATGTGCGTGTGTGGCAACTTGTGCTACTCCGGAATTATGCCAGCTTTATAGAGCTCGCCCACAGCGATACCATGCCACAGATGCCCCACTAAGACACAGTATACTGACTCCGAGCCGACCAGTCCTTGTTTTATCCCCTTAATTTCGAGGACAGGGCATTTCAACAATAAGTACCATCTTTTGACGTCTTTTGGTATGAGTTCATCGATATAATGCATAGCTACACAAGCCTGTAAGCTATGGCCAACCCGTATGCTCGGCCCACACATCTAGAACCTCAAGGTGGGTTTGGTATCGCGAGATAAGACACTGGGTTAGCACTGGATAGTAGTGGTATTTCGGTGATAGCGTGTTGCTCACATGGAGACGTAACATATTGTCTTGCTTTGTTTTAACAACCTGGCAGTAATATTCCCAATATATGGCAGGCCTATAAATATGTCATTCTGGGCTAGACAATCAAGTGGTTGCTATACAGTAAACTACGGTTATAACGAACTCAAAGGGACCACAAATTTTAGTTCGTTATAACCGTAGTTCGTTATAAGCATATATATAGCATATATACAGCATCTATACAGAAAATGGCCAGGACCAAAAAAACAGTTCGTTATATCCGCCAGTTCGTTATAAGCGTGTTCGTTATAAACGTAGTTTACTGTACTTAAGAACAAGGTCGAAAGGTGGACAGGCTTCCAACTGAAGGCTTGGGCCCATTCCACAAAGCGATCTTAGCGCTATACCGCTATATATACGATCGTCGTAAGTTGATGTTACAGTATAGAAGTTACGATCACCTTAGCACTAAGATCATATAGTGGAACGGGCCCTGGTCATTTATTATGGGGGAGGCGGGAGGGGACTGGTCTTTGTATATCACAGTTATTTACAAAACAAATATCCTAATTACATTACTGAGCAGTGAGCATAAGCATCCGATCGGGTTACTCACCTCTTACAAGCTGGGTTGCTGAAGGCCAATTCTAACCCACATTTAGGCCTCCACACAGAGTAGGAAAATTGAATGGAATAACTTTATGGTAACTGCACATGTGCATTTAACGATTGTCAATACTGAAGCAATATGATGTCACACAGTTCATTGTTGAGAACAGCTTGCTTGTTTGTTGTTTAACACCACACCCGCAAAAATAGCTGCTAATTATTATTACTTAAGCCAGGGTACTGCAATGAAAAGTCATAAACTGGAAAACAAGAACATGAGTGAGTGAGAGTGGGTGGTTTTTTACACAAGCAATATCCCGTGGAGGTGGTTTTACACCGCTTTTCCAGCAATATCACGTGGGGGAGGGGGTGACACCAAAAATTGTACCCATTGTCGGGAATCGAACCCAGGTCTTCGGCGTGACGAGAGCTTTAACCACTAGGCTACCCGACCGCCCCACAAGAACATGAAGAAAGAGCTGAGTTTCCCATCCTCTATTTTATGGTCTCAGCCCTGTTATACCTTGCCTTTTTTAAATGTTCTGGTTTGTTATTTGCTGCACTCAGCAATATTCCAGCTATATGACGGTGGTCTGCAAAATAATCGAGTCTGAGCCAGACAATCCAGTGATCAACATCATGAGCATCGATCCACACAATTGGGGTACGATGACATGTATCAACCAAGTCAGTGAGCCTGCCCACCCGATCCTGTTAGTCGCCTCTTACAAGCATTGTCGTTTTTTACAAGCATGGATTGCTGAAGACCTATTCTAACCCAGATCTTCATGGGTCTTGAAAACAATATGTCATCATTGATTTTTCATGACCTCACATATTGATAAAAATATCATCTTAGCAATAAGTTGATTAAGTTAAGATTCAGTTGAAATGAAACACGTTTTCATTTTTAATATTCTCTCCTTAAATATAACCGAGTCAATATAGAATAACCATCTTGAAACACAAATTTACAAATTATGTCCCTAATGAATGAACACTTAAATCTCTGCCAAGGTGTCCTCCTTGTACCATCCATTCACTGTGGGCAGAGAATCCATACTCAAATTTCTTGTAGTTTGTTGTTTATTCTCCAATCTCTTTAAAATCAGATCTTAGTTCTCTCTGCCGCTAAACAAAGATCTGAGGACATCCCATTACGGGTCACGTCAGACTGACCTCTGACCGACCAATGGAATGACTGACAAGAAGTTGACATTAGCCAATCAGAAGGCAGCTTTATCGTGCTTTGCGGCACTAATTTCAAATTGGCGACTACACATCGAAACATATTTTGACAAATTCTCGCTTAAAAATTTGAAACCTGAACAAAAGAACGTTCTAGAATGGCTAATATATATGGTCTAGATTGTATAGATTCAGTCGTTAATACCCCGTTTTAACGGTTTTGAGGCTGCATGATTAGAAATCACATTCCGACTGTCACTTTAATGATCTGGTAAGCAACGCTCTGATTGGTCAGATGAAAGGTCGTTCTGACGTGACCCCTAATGGGATGTCCTCAGATCTTTGTTTAGCAGTAGCGAGAACTAAGATCTGATTTTAATGAGATTGGTTATTCTCTAAAACTGAGTGAGATGGGTTTAACGCTGCCAGTATATATCACTGTGTGTCAGCTTAATGTGGGACGAAAGCCTGAAGTGATGCAGGTCTCAGACGCTTACCACTTCGGTGAAACCCACAAGTACGGGTATGGTGCTGACAAACCTAGAAACATAATCAGGGCGAGCTGGGATTCGAACCCACAATCATAGGTTTCTGGTGTGCCCAAGGGATGCAACTCTGCACAGCGAATTGCAGCGCCATAGACGACACTGGGCCACCCGTGCCCCCTCTAAATATGAAAGAAATCTCCTACAATGGTCTTCTGCTTACTGAAACCATAACACAAAAATTGTTGTGAAAATAGCTTTTTAATCATCCAGTGAAGTCAGCAATCACACAAGCATATAAACATGATAAACAAATAACATCTTGAATATATGAATATCTACACTGCAAATGTTAAGGTTACGAACACACAGAACAGCTTATTGTAAAAACATTCTGACAATGAAAACATAAATTATCATCAAGGTACATTTTCAATAAATAGATAATTATCTTGACTAACACAATTCTAGAAAAGATGTTGTTGGTCCTGATTCTATAGACATTGCTATTCTTCGTATTAACTACTAATCAAATGACGAGAAGAATCAGAATCAGAATTAATGTTTATATCAAACAATATTCCAACCTTAATTGATGTGTCAAGATGTGACATACTAATTTCTAAGATCCTGAAAACATACTCAAAGCAAAATATACTTATTTTTCATCAAATTACTACCGGTAATAATAAGTCCAGTTATAATACATCAGATTCCTTATTACCCCGGTCTTTGGGTCAGTAGGTACTCAAATTTTATTCTCAGCTCCCTGGGAAGTATACAATTCAAGCTGCGTAATGAGGCGATAGATGCTTTCAAGTCATATTACTATCTCATCACATTATCATCTCATTGAGTTTTTTCAAAGCACAACTCACAAACCCCTCTCAGTGTCCAAAAAGATAATACTGTACTGGCGTTTATTTGAGAAAAAGATAAAACCAATTTGACTTGTTTGCTTGTTTGTTGGTTAATGCAGCACTCAGCAATTCCAGCCATATGACTGCGACCTGACTATAATTGAATCTAGACCAGACAATCCAGTGATTGATATTATGAGCAACAATCCATGCCATCAGGGAATGATCACATGACACCTTTCATCATCTCTACAGTTGCTGCCAAAGGTGGGGACAATTCCAACTCAGAATCCCTATGGGCAATTTGCCTTCTGAAAAAAATTAAGGAACATGAAACTAAAATTTCAAGAAATTCAAATTCTACCAAGCTCATTACACAAATTATGAGAAATGACTGGGGATTTTCATTCTCCTAACAAAATAACATCAGTTTGAAAATGAGAGAAAATTTGAGGAGTGAATTTTTCTAAAACCGCAATACCATTAAAAAACAGCATCAAGCTGACATGCATTTGTTGTGTTCACATTAAAAATAACGATTGATCGTCAATCCATTGTCTATATCATCATAATTATTATTATTTTCAGTTATCAATACGACTCCTCTCATAATAGATATATCATTTTACTTTTGAAAAAATGGAGGTGTTTACAGTCAATGACAAAGCCATCAGACATATAGTTCGTGTACAAGTACCAACCAATCTGTGGCAAGTCAATGGATGATTTTGTGACTTGAACAATCTTCGTCATGTTAAATTTGTTGTTTGTTTGACATGGAGAAGAGTAGGTGCTAACATCAGCAGAAGGTCAACTTTGAATTTGAGACATTTTTTTCAATAACATATCTTGAAAAGAAAAGAAAAACTTTCTTTTGTATAAACTGACCTTTCGTTGACCCATGTAAATAGAACCACACAAAATTGGCTTGGCTTTGACCAATGTAATTTTCTCACTACTGTGACTGAAATTATTCAACTTTCACATTTCTTATCTGCTGCACATTCTGTGAGTGAGAGTGAATTTGGTTTAGCGCCGTTTTAAACAGTATTACAGTTATATCACAGCGTGTTAGCTTGATGTGGGAGGAAAACCCTAAGTGATGCAGGTCTCAGACGTTTACAACTTCGGTGAAACCCACGAGCACGGGTATGGTGCTGACAAACCTAGAAACATAATCAGGGCGAATCGAGATTCGAACCCACAATCATAGGTTTCTGGCGTGCCCAGGGGACGCAGCTCTGCACAGCGAATCGCGGCACCTTAGATGACTGGGCCACCAGTGACCCCTGCACATTCTGTGAGTCAGAGTTAACACTGCTTGGAACATTATTTCATCTGCAGGAGAGAAACAAGAATAAGAGACGATTACCCGTGACAATACCCAAGAATAGTGCTGACAGATCAAGTAACATAATCTAGACAAATTTATGTTTCTCATGATCATGAAACTCATGATTAGCAGATCCTGCACTGCAAAGGGACGCAACTATGCACGGAAAATGTTGTCGTCTTAACCTGTACAGCAATTAGACACTAGAAACAAACACTAGACTGTGTGGAATCTATTTCTTCTTAAGCCTAGGGTAGGAGTCGAAAGACACCAATGATTAGAAACTTTGTTATATACTAGCACAATGTAACATAACAGTTAAAGCTTGTGGTGTCTGTAGAGTGAGTGAATTAGGTTAAAAGTTTCACAATGCCATAGGCCCCTTAGAATATGAGTGAATGAGTGAGCTGGATTTAACACCGCTTTGAACAGTATTCCAGTTATATTCAGGTGTGTCAGCATATTGTGTTTGTTTGTTTGTTTGTTTGTTTGTTTTGTTTGTTGTTTAATGCCGCACTCAGCAATATTCCAGCTATATGCCGGCAGTCTGTAAATAATCGAGTCTGGACCAGACAATCCAGTGATTAATATCATGAGCATCAATCCACGCAATTGGGATCGATGACATGCATCAACCAAGTCAGCGAGCCTGACCACCCGATTACGTTAGTCGCCTTTTACGACAAGCATAGTTACCTTTTACGGCAAGCATGGGTTGCTGAAGACCTATTCTACCCCGGGATCTTCACGGGTCCAGCGTATTGTGGAAGGAAAACACAAAGTGATGCACGTCTCATTTACCACTTTGGTGAAACCCACCAGTATGAGTACGGTGCTGGGAAACTTGAAACATAATCAGGGCGAACCAAGATTCAAACCAACAATCATAGGAAGCCCATTTCTGGTGTCCCCCGCCGTGATATTGCTGGAATATTGCTAAAAGCGGCGTAAAACCATACTCACTCACTCACTCACAATCATAGGAACGCAACTCTCACATTGGAATTGTGGCACCTAAGATGACTGGGTGACATCTCACTCTCTCGCTCACTCTCACACTCACAACTACACACACGCAACCCCTCTGAGAATGTGGAGCAGTGTAAGTAGTTATTCTCCATGATAGTGAGTTGGGTTTAATGCCACTTTGAACATTCATTTCTTTAATGTCATGTCACTGTGATGTTGCAGGAAAGCCCAAAGTGATGCAGAAGCTTAGCACTTTCCTGAAACCCACGGTATGGTGCAATCTCATTCAAATCAGATCTTAGTTTTCGCTACCGCTAAACAGAGATCTGAGGACATCCCATTACGGGTCACGTCAGACCGACCTTGCGCGAACTTTGACCGACGGATTGAATGACCAATCAGAAGGCAGCTTCTCGTGCTTTACGGCACAAATTTCAAATTAGCGACTACGTTTCGAAACATATTTTGACAAATTCTCGATTACAAATTTGAAACCTGAACAAAAAAACATTCTGGAATGGCTAATAGATGGTCTAGGTTGTAAGGATTCAGTCGTTAAACCCGTAACTATCATTCGATATACCCCATGTGAAAGTTTTCGAGATTGCATGATTAGAAATCACATTCCGACTGTCACTTTCATAATCTGGTAAGCGAGGCACTAATTGGTCGGATGAAAGGTCGTTCTGACGTGACCCCTCATGGGATGTCTTCAGATCTTTGTTAAGCCGTAGCGAGAACTAAGATCTGATTTTAATGAGATTGAGGTATGGTGTGATACCAACCCACCATCATTGGATCATGGCAAGCCTCAGTGATGAAGCTCAGTGATGAAGCTCTGCTCTGCAAATTGTGGTGCCAAAGATGACAGTCCACCTGTTCCCTGACTTCCATAAAGAAGCCTAGATCCGAGAATATGATGATGTCTTGTAGGGCTGGGACGGGTAACTCGGGTCGGGTGCTTCCTGAGTAGGACCCGGATACCCACAGGACTACACGGACCTGTTGTAAGTCACGTGATATATTGCATAATGGTAAAAATTATCTAGAACTTCCACAATTACACTATAAGTGACTAATGTTCGAATGTCTTTCTGACTAATAGTCTATGCACCCATTCCTTCTGACTTCATATGTTTGAATAGAGATAAAACCTCAGTCAGCTTCAATGTATGCATTGTTTTCTATGAGTATCTTAATACATTTTGCCAGGGCTACAGTCACACTATTCCCAACCAGACATTTGTACCTATCTCTTGAGACCTACAGCGGGTACCCGGGTAGGGTCAGTAATAGTTTGGTGAGTACCCAGGTAGTAAATTTGGACTCGTCCCAGCCCTAATGTCTTGTATAAAAAGTCCATGCAATATCTACAAACATATATCAACTGATTGAATTTACATTGAGACTATACATTCAAATATATGAGATACCAAAAGGAAAAAAATATATGTCATCAGAGGCTTTAAAACACTGGATGACTACATGGTACTTGTGCTAACAGTTACCCACACATTTGACAGTTGAAAATGGTAATTTGTGACAAATAAAAAAGATTAAAAAAACCAACAGAACTGATTCTGCTCTTGAGACAATAAACTATTGTCATTATCATATTCATTGTTTCCTTTGAATCAACAAAAGAAAACATATTTTCTAGTTCTAACAACACTTAATCCACTGAAGCTTGGAAGATTGAAGGGTGTAATTATTCAATGTTCTAAGTAGAATCTTTTTCAAAGTTATTTTCAACACATGATGTGTTGTGACGTGGCGCAGGCTTGTCAACCTCTGGGCTTTTTCACTGGAGGCTGCTTCTCCTTCTCGGTTCCAAGAACAGCAGCGTCTATCTGCCACAAGTCAATATTCTTGGCCTTGATAGCATTCTGGTGAATAAAGCAGAAAATAACATAAAGAAATTATAACACATCTTACACAGATTTACAGATGTTTTTTATTCTACCCTAAAATAATCAAAAGTGACAATCTGAAAACACTATTTGTTTACTCTGCTGACTGCTAACTTAAGTGTGGATTTGTTTGTTGTCTGACACCACACACAGCAATAATCCGGCTATATGCAGTGGTCTGTAAATAATGGAACCTGGACCAAAACATTCAATGATTGACACCATGGGCTTCGATCCATGCAATTAAGATGCAATCAACCTAACCACTAAGTCTGACCATCCGATCCATTTAGGTTGCTCGGGACCTACCGTATTCGACGTAATAAGCGCCCAGGGCGCTCTCAAAATTAGAAATAGGGGTCTTTGATTGGAATATTATTTTGGTGAACAAAGTTCGTAAATTTCGTGGTTTATGCTGACAGCCTGAAATATTTATATACAACATATATATTTTTCCAGGATTTAATTGCCCATAATTAAGGGTGCATATAATACACGAGTGCGTATTATACACGAATAAATAAGTCTTGTGTACATTGATCCATCGGAAGGGGTGCTAATTGAGATTATTCACTAGCCAATATATTAGCAAATATCGCCGTGGGCGGTTATTAGAGCGGGGCGCTTATTACGTCGAATACGGTATGTTCTTACCCAGAATCCCCATGGCTGTGAAATTGCAGTTAAATTGCGGCGTGTCAGCTTAATGTGGGAGGAAAGCCCCAAGTGATGCAGGTCTCAGACGTTTACCACTTCGGTGAAACCCACGAGCACGGGTATGGTGCTGACAAACCTAGAAACATAATCGGGGCGAACCGGGATTCCAACCCACAATCATAGGTCTCTGGTGTGCCCAAGGGACGCAACGCCTTAGACGACTGGGACACCTGTGCCCCCAACTCATGTGTGAGAAAGGTTTTGTTGGATGGCATCACTTCCGAAACAAAGCCTCAGTAGCAAATGGATTCAGAGTCATAACAATATGGAAATGTAAAACAATAGATTATCGATGCAGTCAACTGTAACAGTACATGCCCTTTTCCCAGCGGCGTTTACCTAGTCTATGCAAACGGAGTCATCATATGTGTACTAGGTACTTCAGTACTTGTCATGAAATCATGAACAATTGCAGTTAACACACTAACTGTTCAAAGTGAAATTCAGTATGTACCACACAGGTGAGGTGAGGTGAAATGGGGTTTAACGTCGCGCCCAAGATTATTGCACTTATATAGCGACGAGCATGCACGTATATGTGTGTGTGGCTGCTTGTACTACTCCGGACTGATGCCGATTTATAGTGCCAGCCTACTGGGATACCATGCCTCAGTTTAACATGAATACCCCACTCAGACACAGTATACTTACTCCGAGCCGACCAGTCCTTGTTTTAGCCCCTTAATGACGAGTGACAGACAGGGTAACAACAAGTACCATCTTTAAACGTCTTTTGGTATGAAGCAGCAGGGGATCAAACCCCATACCTTCTGCTCTCCGGGCGGATGCTCTACCACTAGACCACGGAGGTTGTTGTACCACACAGTGGCAACCCACTTTTCCAGGCTTCATCAGAGGACAGACGAGCATGATGCATGACAGTAATGTTGGTGAATATAAACTGACATGGTGACATCTGTGACCCCTTCCTTGGCCAACAACTCACCAGGAGAAATGAGATTGTGATCAGCTGGTGAGGCAAGCTGTCTCATCTGCTGGACCCCATCAAGGCTCTCGACTAATCCCACTTACTTTTTCTACCTAATCAAGTGATTAAGGATTTACAATAAACTTAAAGAACACAGTTTTGTAACTGTTATCATTACCTTCACACAATTCTGATAAACACGAAAGAGTGGAGCACACTCGTCCTCCTTTTGTCCTCTTAAGAATTTGTCTGCAAACCACTTATTAAAACAGTCATCGTATGCTTTCTTCAAGTCCTGACACTCTTGCCCGACGCTGTTCATTTTCACGTTTCATCAGTCGCCACACGTTTTGACCCGACAGTGCGAGTAGGAAGTGACGTCAGGACAGAATTGGATTTCCCCTTTCTATTTTTATACATAGACGCCTCGGGCGTTAATCCTTTGATCGCCGTTGGTTAAAATGTCCTCACATAGCTTCGACTGCATAAGTCAAATAAGCAGTTTTCCAATTTGAAGTTGACGCTTCTTTGAAATAGCTTCTACTTAACTTTTCAGCAATGTGAATTCCGGAAGTACTAACGAACAACACCTATGCTATATATGATACAACTTCCTGCAAATAGTTCGCCATACACTTTAATGGATTCGTGATAATGTCTCAATTTATTAGGTCGGTTACACATGTCACAGATTTTTCAACTGTATTTAAATAATATAAGTTACTTCAACCTCTCTTCATTCCTCTGGGCATTATGGAATCCTGAATTTATGCGAATTATATCAATGCGCATTTTAGTATGCAGAGTTGTCTGCTCTTGACGAGTTTAAGCTTGGAGAATATTTCATTAACGATGATACGAAGCTCTGCTCTTTTGTGTCAGCGTTGCTTACGTCTCTCAAAGCAAACAAAACGTCGCTTTGCGTCGAAGGTAGATTTACATTGTTTCTCTACATGTAGACATAATATGCAATAACTCAACTTTTTTCTGTCAGGCACCACAATGAAGTCTATTCAGATCACAGCACATTGTGACCAGAAATTGTAGACCATGCTATTAATACTTTTTCAGGAACACGAAACGAGTTCAACCAACTTTAAGTGTTGCTCATAGTATTAGACGTGTGTCTGATTTTTCTTTTGTTAGAAGGCGTTTAATAGTTTGATAGTAATACTCAGGAAAAGTGCTGACGAAGAATATTTTATTGAATAAAGATAAAATATTATAATAATCACTCTACGTATGTATATCGTTTGTAGGTTCCAGAAAATCCAACATGGATTAAAATAGATCCAAAGAAGTTGCCTGAGGTGAGTATATGTACAAGAATGTATAAGCATTTACAAGACAAGCAATGCTTTGAGGATAACAAATTTGCTTCTTGTATCTAGGATGTCTGATAATTTATTTGACCAAGGTAAAAAAAAATTAAGGTGCCGTATTCGCCAGGTCATAGCAGCCGTTTCGCTTGAGGCGAGGTGACGTTTTTGTCCATCGGTGCCGTTTTCGCCCGATGACGTTTTGCTGAGGTGCCGTTTTAGTTATAACCCATAAACATGCTGCTCAAGATTTTATTGGACCCGATTAGATTACACATTAGATGTATAGGTGGAATGTCCCAAATAGAGGTTCAAATCATTTACTTTTCAGGATAATAAAAGAGGGATGTAGGCATAATATCCAGGTTGACCTGGTTTATCTGTTGCTGCAGGTTCCTGAGATCAGCAAGGAATTGGTGGAGCAGTTGGAGAGACTGTCACTGGTGGAGTTCAGTAATGAGGAGGGTATCGCATGTCTCTCCGCTGCTATCCGATCTGCCAACACTCTCTACATGGTCAACACAGAAGGCGTGGAGCCTCTGGACACAGTGCTGGAAAACAGGTACATTGCTAGTGGCCTGCGTCTACTGTATATCATCTTCCTGAGGCAAGTGAGTTAACTGACTTTTAAAGTCCAGTTTCCACCCTTGCCGAACTAGGCTGGAATTACTGGGCTCGATTGTAGCGCCACCAGTGGCTATTACGAGTTATGTCCCTTCTCTGCCTCTCCTATGGGCCAATCAAATTCCACCTCTCATATCACTTGCGTTTATTTCAAACAAAATGGCGGCACCCAGCCAAGACGATCTGATCGATAATCTAGATCAATATTGTGATAAAACGGGTCTTACATCGCGAAGTGCATCAAATCACGTAACCATCTTGATTAAAAAATTGAAAAGATTTTGAAAATATCTGTTGACAATGACATGCTGTGCAAATCCCGCAATCAACCGAAATTTGCATGACAGTTTACGAACCGGATTTCGATTTTGGTGCACGATTTTGATTAGACTATGCATAGACTCGTTAGTCCAGCCAAAATCTAACTCCATAATTCCAGCCTAGTTCGGCAAGGGTGGAAACTGAACTTTTATAGTCAATTAACTCTCTTGCCTCGGGAAGCCACTGTATCAGATTGTCAGTAGCAACTTGATAATAATGATCCCATGTATAGAATCCATATCATTTTCTGTTAAGTTTACCCTACACTGCTGACCCGTGAAGATTCCGGGGTAGAATAGGTCTTCAGCAACAAAGCTTGCCGTAAAAGGTGACTATGCTTGTTGTAAAAGACGACTAACAGGATCGGGTGGTCAGGCTCGCTGACTTGGTTGATACATGTCATCGATCCCAATTGCGTGGATCGATGCTCATAATGTTAATCACTGGATTGTCTGGTCCAGACTCGATTATTTTACAGACTGCCGTCATATGGCTGGAATATTGCTGAGTGCGGCATTAAACAACAAACAAACAAACAAGTGTTTCTGTAGACTGCTTATGTCAGTACCTGATTGGTAGGGTCAGACAAATGTTTTTAATTTTGTATGTCATGTAAACGAACTGTATCTAAATTTTATGCTGAGATAAGATGTGTAGTAGGGCTATTTATTGTTACGAAAGTCACGATACCATACATCCCAACACATTGATTTCCAATACGATATGTTGACTAGGACTGTGACAACTCAACAAAGATTAATTAACTTAAATCTATTAATTATGTAGAGCCATTGGCATGATTTAAGGCATGGATACCATGCAATATGAATATGCACTTAGTGTTATCATTACGAAATGTGTTTTCGTCACATTTCTTTTCATTCTATTTGATGATGGAATATGTCTCCTAACATTAGTATAGTGTTGCATCAAATCATACTACAACCTGACTACCTTAATATGTATTATGATGTCACGGTGTATCGTTGCAGTCCTAAATTTAAAAAAATAAGACTTAGTTGGTTGCGATGCAAAATGTATCACAATACTCAAGTATTGACAGTAGGCAATCAACAAGCCCTGCGCTTCAATATTAGTTGGCCATGTGGGATTTGAATCTGTGTCTTTAATATATCATGTCTATGAAACAACAACAATTTGTAGTGGAGAAGAAGCATGTATGAATTAAAAGAAAAGACAATTTGGTTGCCAGGGAATTGTATCTACGAAATGATGACATCACCGATGGCAACTGCCGAGATGACATCCTCTCAAATGCTGTCAAAACAGAAGAAGAGTACTTTGTTGCGCCACCAGGTATGTTAGAGAGGACAGTAATTAAATGTCATTTACTGCAGGCAAGGATGCCCTACCATTATGATGCTGTAGATACAATCTCATTAAAATCAGATCTTAGTTTTCGCTACCGCTAAACAAAGATCTGAGGACATCCCATAACGGGTCACGTCAGAACGACCTTTCGCGAACTTTGACCGACCAATGAAATGACTGACAAGAAATCGACATTAGCCAATCAGAAGGTAGCTTTATCAAGCTTTGTGACACAAGTTTCAAACTGGCGACCACGCTTCAAAACATATTTTGACGTATTCTCGATTAAAAAAATCAAAACTGATAAAAAGAACATTCTGGAATGGCTTATAGATGGCCTAGATTGTATGGATATTAAAAAAACAACCATAACTGTCATTCAGAATACCCTCTGTTAATTTTTTCGAGGTTGCATGATCAGAAAACACACTCCGTCAGTCACTTCCATGATCTGGAAAGCGACGCTCTGATTGGTTGTATGAAAGGTCGTTCTGACGTGACCCGTAATGGGATGTCCTCAGATCTTTGTTAAGCGATAGCAAAAACTAAGATCTGATTTTAATGAGATTGCTGTAGATATGACATCTCAACACATGACAGACTACCGCCAAATGAAGAGACGTGTTGATACAACAGAAGTTTACAATACACTCTTTCAGTCGCCGTTCATCGGGGCGGCATGGGTGGCCCAGTCGTCTTAGGCGCCGCTATTCACTGTGCAGAGTTGCTTCCCTTGGACACGCCAGAAACCTATGTTTGTGGGTTTGAATCCTGGTTCGCCCCGATTATGTTTCTAGGTTTGTCAGCACCATACCTGTGCTCGTGGGTTTCACCAATGTGGTAAACGTCTGAGACCTGCATCACTTCGGGCTTTCCTCCCACATTAAGCTGACACACCGTGATATAACTGGAACACTTTTTAAAGCGGTGTTAAAAACCCAACTCACTCACTCACTCACTCACTGTTCATCGGGTTTTCTGTATAAAACGAATTGCTGCACATGCTTTAAATAAGTTTTTTTTCTCATGACATATTTTTTGGCAAGGTATATGCAGCAAAATTAGTATTTGTAATTGCCGGTAGTATGCAATATAATAAATATTTTTTCACCTTAGTTATCAGCAAAATCATACTTGTACATAGAATATATCCCTCTGTCGGTATTCAGGATGGAAAAAATTTGTAAGCCAAGAATGACCCCCAAATTATGTTGCTCTTGGATAGAGTTTAACATGTCCACGGAATAAAAATGCAACAGTCCAGTTCACAGTTAAACAGTTACACTCCTAATATTGCAACCATTTCTGTTAACTAATGGTTTGGTGAATTTCTATTTGGGAGGCATGGCTGGCTAAGCATTCTGGGACTGTCTAATTTGTTGTGCGGATTTGAGTACCTGTACGTTTGATTATGGGTTCGAAAACCAGATTCTCCCTGAAAATAATTCTTGGTTTGTCAGCACCACTAACATGCACACAAGTTCTCAAAAGTGATCAACATCTGAGAGCTATGTCACTTTTGTCCCACATTTAGCTCACATGCTGTGATATCAACTGAGTTGGTTGGTTGGTTTGTTGTTTAACGACGCATTCAGTAATATTCCAGCTATATGACGACAGTCTGTAAATAATCGAGTCTGGACCAGACAATCCAGTGAATAATATCATGAGCATCGATCCACGCAATTAGGATCGATGACATGCATCAACCAAGTCAGCGAGCCTGACCACCCGATCCCGTTAGTCACCTTTAACGACAAGCATAGTCGCCTTTTACGGCAAGCATGGGTTGCTGAAGACCGGATCTTCACGGGTAGATATCAACTGAGGATGAGATACTGTTCAAATCACCTATAAACCCAATTCATTCACTCTCATCATCTATCAACTGTCCAGTTGTATTTCAAACAATTATATATTTTCTTTATCTATGAAACCACAAGTCTATCAGTATGATACCAGGAATCATGTACCGTATTTAACATAATAAGCGCCAAGGGCGCTCTCAAAATTAGAAATCATGAAATAGGGGGCTTTTATTAGAATATTATTTTGGTGAAAAAAAAGTTGAAAGATCGTAAATTTCGTGGTTTATGCCGACAGCCTGAAATGTTTACATACGACAGATATATTTTTCCATAATTTAATTGCCCATAATTAAGGGTACATGTAACACCAGGTGCGTATTATACACGAGTAAATAAGTCTTGTGTTCATTGATCAATCAGAAGGGGTGCTGATTGGGATTGTTCACTAAGCCAATATATTTGCAAATATCGCCGTGGGCGCTTATTACGTCCAATCCGGTGTGCTTAAATAGAAAATGCCTTTGTTTTACATTACGGAACCATTTATTCATATCTCAAAGCAACTAGCGGGATCAGGTGGTCAGGCTTGCTGACTTGGTTGGTGCATGTCATTGTGTCCCAATTGTGCTCATATCAATCACTTGTCTGTCCAGACACGATTAGTTACAGACCATTGTCATAATTATAGCTGGATTATTGCCGAGTGCAGCGTTAAACAACAAACCTGGAACAGTGTCTCGGGTTCATCATAGCTCGACAGCTTAATGTGGGAAGAAAGCCCAATGTGATGCAGGTTTTAGATGTTTACCACTTTGGTGAACCTACAGGAGTGGGTTAGTTCTGATACATCTGGTATCATGAATAGGAGCTTTATGGGATTAAAACTGATAGCTATTGAATTCCATCATGCTTAAGGTATGCAACTTTCGATAATTATAGAACACTGCAAACAAAGCTGTGATACAGCTTGAATAATGCTGATTGACAAAAACATCCACTCACGGGGAGCAAAAATGATTAATGTTATATTATATAAAAATATTTTACTTTCAGGAAATATTCCTCTGGAATCCAAAGACGAAGATTACAAGAAGTTTCTTTCTTGACACAAAGTTGATGTCATTCCTGTGTAAGCTTGTGTTGTGTGCTAAAGACTGAATCTGTTCTATAGATGTGTGAAATCGCGAGTCAGTCGTCCCCCAACCTTGAAGAATAGCAATAAATAAAACTTGTCTAGTTCTGGTTTTTGTTTGCATGTATACCTTTGGATCAGTACCCCAACTATAAAACACCTCATCTTGTGGTCCCTAAGCCACAAAAATGAAAATCACTATTTGCATGATTTGTGTCCCATCTTTATGAAATACAGTATGTAAGAATAGAATGTTTCATGTAAGCTCCGTTTTGTTACCAACAGAAAAAAAAGAAGAAATCTTCAATCAGTTAATTCCAAACCTCATGACTTGTTTAGGCATGAAAGGACACTGTATTGCGCATGCCTCCCCCAATAAGAGCAACAGCAATGACCACTACCAGTCATCCTGGGTTAACATGGCTGTCCACAGACAAGCAGGGTGGGCTGAAATGGAGTCTTGTCAATTCAAGATTATCATACTTATATGTTGATGTGCGTGCACTAGTCAAGAATAATGCAGGTTTTGTTTCAAGTACTCACCCACCGAAATATCATGCAGTCGTTTAACATTGAAACCCCACACGGACACATGCAGCTCCCATGCTACTAGTCCTTTTAGCCCCTTTCGCTCTTCAGGCAGACACTATCCACTAGCCCACAGAGGTGGTTTCTATTTGCAGTCCAGCAACAAGGCTGGATAATCATGTGTAGGAATCAGTGACTAATTGAAATATTCCAATGAAACTGCCTTGGTTAGTCTTCAATCCCAACTTTTTCAGTAACCTGTGCTTTGAAAGTACAGCACCGACTGTGGATGGTTAGGGATTTTGCAATTCAACAAGGTATCAGCAATAATTGTTGAACACCACAAACAAAACAAAGTATGACGATGCATCAATAGTATACCTCCGTGAATCCTATCCGAGACCTGCTGCAACACATGGGTTAAGATTCTGCTATAAAGTGGTCAGACTTGGTGATTGCGTGTCATTGTACCCTGAATGTATGTGAAGTTGTTCATGATATCAATCACTGGTCTGTTTCGATTATTTACAGGCCAATGTCATGTGGCTGGAATAAGTGTGGTATTAAACATTGCACTCTCAAATATTCAAGCCATATGACAGCCTGAGAATATTCAACAAGTCTGGGTCAAATAAACCAATGACTGATAAGTTATCTAACCGTGTCCTGATAAAAAAAAGTATTGGATCATGCATTTCCAAGTTCTATATTGAGAATAGGTAGTGCTACACTCAGTTACAGCCATGTTCTCTTCATGTGCTGAAGGTATCAGGGTGAAAAATAACATAAATAATCAGATTTTAAGATATCTGCATCCTTTATTAATACAAACAAGACAAACATAAAACATCAGGGTGTAATTATCTTTAAAAATACTGTTGTGATAAGAAACAGAAGAGCATTATGGTCCTGAAAAGCAATATTCAAGATGAGTGAATGCAATGTGCCGAGTTTTGGGGAAGTGGGAAAGGAAACAAGATGATCAACTGAAATGAGTTAAGAAATGGCTTTTGGATATTAGACTCATACATAGTAAAGAGGAAAACTTACCCATTCAATTATCCCGCGATTATCAAATTTCCTCTCGCGCTGGCAGTTCCTATCTAACTTACCGTTAACTTAATCCTAATTGAATTATGGAGTTGTTACATCCTTTAGCTTCCAGATTCCATCCAAACGATTTTAATGCGACGCTCCGAAATCTTCCTTGATTGATATCTTCATTCAATCCTGTTTCGTTCAAGTATGCATCAATGCTAAATTCACACACATGCTTTTCCAGTGACAAAATCAGTGAAAGAGCACATATCTGATATGAACAAAGCTGCATAATTAGAACTAATCTTACCGTATTCCTCCTGGCGGATGTTCCAAGAATTTTAGTTCACTATCCTCTGCGCGAATCCTGATTCTATCCTTACATTTCGGCCTCCAAACTCTCTCCTGTCCTTTCCTTTAATGTTCCTATGCTCCCAGTCTCCTTCCCTCTCATTAATAATCCTCATGTTGTTCGTTCCTATCCTTCCTTAATTTTTATCCATAATCCATCCAGTCCAAGGCAAATATATCCTATGAAAGGATAGTAATGAAATCCAGCGAGATTTCAGAGCCTTCATTTTATCCAGATCCTCTTAAAACTATGATCCAAATGGGATATCTGTTAAAGGAATCGTTTAGAATCCTAGGATGGAAATGGGCCGCAAATTTTAACTGTGGGTTTCTGTTTTCCTCCTGAAATCCACAGTGAAATCCTTATGGGTCCCTTGAGTTATCCACGGAACATCCTCCTATTCTTTGATTCCAGAATACTTACTTGAATTCAAGATTCCCAAATATGACCTAGATACTGGAAATCCTGATTTCACGTAATTTAAAAGATTTTTTCAATGCAAAATTTTCAGGCAAGATTCCAGTGGTTTAAAATCCTGTCTACACCATGATTCAAATGTCCTGAAAGATGGATCCAAATTTTTAGTTCTATTTCCTTGACTGCGATATTTGAAATCCGGATTATTTCCCCTAACTGGGGGAAATTCCTATGTTCCAAAGCGAATTCCTACAGATATCCAGATTTTGAAATCCTGATATCCTAATGAGCCGTGGGGAGGATCCTAAAGAGCCATTTCTATGTATCCTGTTTCCTCTCCTAATGAAATGCTAATCCTTCCCTTTGATCCGCGGATCCTACTCTCTCCAACGCAGTCAATGCATTATGTTTCCAACTGAACAAAAGGAAAAGGACAACACATATTAGCACAGGAAAAAACAGTTCATGAAATTACTTTCCACGACACATAATCAGTTAAAAGTCTCTCTGGACACAGCACTTTGGCCATAGCCCCAGAGCTTGTAAATCAGCTAGAGGTGTAGAAAATTATGCTGCAGCTTGAAGTCATTCCAACATATTTTGTTTCATGAAAAATTTGGGTAGGTCATGATTCTTTTGCAAATGTTTCACCTTACAAATTTGGGATGTGTTTCAGTGTCACTTTGAAATCAACTAATGTTTAGACTTTTTCTGAAGAGAACTAGAACATTGGTGGACCACCATGTTTGAGAGTTAGCTAAAAAGATAAAACTATTCATGCACAAAACACAGATGTTGGCAATAAAGCAGTTATTCTAGCACAAGGCAAACCAGAGCATGGTGATTAGCAGTCATAAAAGCATACCATGCCTATTCCCTCCATGAGTCCTATCCAAAGTTCATAACTCTAGTTGCTGTCGCTAGGAGAGGCTCGAGTTGTCTCCCCTAGGGCATCGTTCTCACGACTACAGCATTTTTGTTTGTTAGCCTCCTAGTTCCTATTCAGCATCTGGAGAAGGAGAGATAAAAATATCAAGAACTGGACAATTAAAATGTGTTGGCATTACATCAGGGTCTGATTTTTTTGGGCTACTTTGGAGGGCAAAATGCTGATGACGCTATATTACATACATACATAAATCGGATGAAATGATACATCATTGTGTGGCTACGTCAGTTTTATCATTGCGAATGGGTTACATGAGAAGCCATAGCTCAGTATGGGGAGCGTGACCTCGACCGTCCCCGGGAATACGAACTTGATCGGGATCGCATTGGGGAGTAGCGGGGGCTGCCTCGGGATTGTCTTCGTGGTGAAAAGCTTGGGCTTCGACTACGAGACTTTCCTCGAGAATCTTGTTTCACACGGATGTAACTTGCTTCACCCTGAAAATCATATGAAAAGAGTGAATGTTGTATCACTTAACAGTCAGCAATATCTATGATATATTAGTGATACATAACCATGATAACAGGATGATGCATATATTAGCCAAGAAAATTGTAAATCAGTTTGTACTGGTATGGTGACATTCTCCATTAGATTCAAGGGGTTCATTTTGGAATGATCAAGTGGAATGCAATATTACAGGTTGGAAGAACAAATGTTAAAAGTAAGCAACATTATTACTCAAAGCTGCGTCACATTACACTGACTAGCCTGTATCAAACTTAAATAATTACTGTTATGGGACAGTTACTAACATTCAAACTTATCAGATTTTCTAGTCTTACCTCATGGGAGCGGAACTTTGAGTCGTCTAGTTTTCTTACAGCATATTTCATGTCTTCCTTGCGGAGAAACTCAACTACTCCTGTACCATCCTTGAAGACATCAGCATAGCACACATCCCCAGCCTCTCTCATGTGGTCCTTCAAGTCCTGCCAGCTACCAGTGGGAGGCAAACCTGGACAGTGAAACATAACATGGATATTTTGAATCAAGGGACTATATACTGCAAATCTGGAAATTAATGTATCTCCAAATTAATACGACTGCTGACCCCTAGCCAAAAATGTGACTCCTCCCATCCCCAGTGGAATGATGCATATCCTTACTTCAATTCAACCTTACCTTAATCAAATTAAATAGTAAATAGCACGGCTTAATAGCACTGAGTAGAGCACTTCCATAAAAACAATAAACAGTGTTTTCCTCAAACACAGTTTATAAATAATTGAACCAACCAGGGTTAGAAACTTGTTTTTTTCCACTAATCCTTATAATGATAACACATAGCAAAACCCTTAAAATGGGCCAATTTCTACTAGTCCTTAGGATACCTTTACTATTGGGAAGTTTGGTAAGGACTACAGGACTAGTGCCAATTTCTAACGCTGCCAACAACAGTCCACTTATTGGTATGCAGAGAAGGTGTGTCAACAAGCTTGACATGAGCGGGAAGAACTCTTGACCCCAGAAGTGATAACACACCGGATGCCCTTTGTGTAATTCCTATTTCTGAATGACATTGTTATATATACTTGTTACAACTGCTGCTCAATAAACTCTTCTTATATTCAAGTTGGTATTTCTGCTCTCCAAAGAGTGCAATGAAGCCGTCTCATTGCTGATAGTAATTTTGGAGACATAAACGCAAAGTTAACTAATGCAAGCAAAGACCACTCGCCAATTTTTCTCATTTAATTCACTCGAATTAATTAAAAGATTTACAGTATTCAAAACCCCTTTTTTAGGAATGATCTTAATTATTAATTATTTAATTTCACCAACTGATTCAGAGGCTTAGAATTATGAAGTGCTGTACA